TGGAGACGAGGTTTTTGAGGGGAAGTAACGTAATTTTAGGAACGTTGTTAGACTGAAGGCTAGATTTCCTCAGGGTAAGTAGCAGTGATGTATCTGTCATATTGAAGCTTCAACATCCCCCACTATGGTCTATTCAGGTGATCAAATACCCCCACCCCAGGCAAGGGACAAACCTCTCATGCAAAGCATCGGAAATCAATGCTAAAAGGTCACTGAATGTTCAGTTTTTCTTAGTGTGTCTTGCAACATACAGAGCGTTCTATAAAAAAAAATCCCATCTACTGAGATTATTTCATTCCATACATGCATGGATGTATTCCTCTTACTTATTAATTATATAGGTGATTAGTTATTCCAGATGTTTTTCATGAGACTGACTTTGTCTAGCGTGTTGACCCAAAAGTTTTGCTCCTTTCTCGAGTAAACAGAAGTGAATCTAATACCGGGTCCGGAATGACTATGTTACTTCTGTTGGATTCATTATTTTTCAATGTTTCTCCGAAGTGATAACGTCACAATCGAAACCAAATTCAGAAAGGGTAGTATGAATAGAATAATCAGTTTAAATTAATGTAGATTCCACTGTTCGGAGATACTGCACATGGCACAGGCCAGCCAATTAGCAGCACTTCATGTTGGTAAAGTAAATTCAGTAAACTCTAGGGAAGTTTTGTAGATAAAATTTTGCAGTTAAAATTTGTTCTCTAGAGTTTCTTTTGTCTCCTATGAATAATACTAGAGCTAGGAATGAAAAGAAACTGAGAATCAAACTAGGTTAAATATTGATTAATCTGAAATTGATTTTAACTGCAGCATATAATATTATAGTATCAAAATCTGCTGTCCTTTGGGTCGTATCAGTCTCATATTATAATGTGGCATGAAATACATGTAGTGTCAGAATAAAGAACAGTAGCTGTGATTGGCTGAAATCAGGAAAAGAATGTGGTTCAAGTGTGAGCAACCATTTCTTGGGGAGGAGGCCATACAAGAAAGAAATGCGACGAGGGAGACTACATGTAAAAAGTGAAGATATAGATAAAAAAAAAGAGTCTACCAAGATGGGATTAAATTTAAATAAAGGGTCAATGTCTGTATTACAAATAATGTAAATGTGATAACAGGTGAATTCCTTTTTTTCTTTTTACAGACTGAGAGACAAGAATTTTGTTATGGAGACAACATTGGGACAGTGATTTTGAAGCAGCTATGCATAGGTGAGTGCTTCATGGAAGAAATCTCTTTATTATTACAGACTGTTATTATTTCTTTTTAACTGCTGATTAACCCATGAAGAGACCAATTCATTGTGTAAGGACATACTATAGACTAAAGGGAAAAAAATTAATGCAGTTTTATAGTACCGCCATTTCTCAAACAAAACAAATTTTAATATTAAAATCTATTTAGAAGAATTTATTTGTTCTTTTTACAGACTGAGAGACAAGAATTTTGTCATGGAGACAACATTAGGACAGTGGTTTTGAAGCAGCCGTGCATAGGTGAGTGCTTCATGGAAGAAATCTCTTTATTATTACAGACTGTTATTATTTCTTTTTAACTGCTGATTAACCCATGAAGAGACCAATTCATTGTGTAAGGACATACTATAGACTAAAGGGGAAAATGCAGTTTTATAGTACTGCCATTTCTCAAACAAAACAAATTTTAATATTAAAATCTATTTAGAAGAATTTGTTGGATGTGTTTGGACTGAAATTCTTGCATTTCCTGAAGAATGGTCAGTAATCAATCTTTTTTCCTGCAAATAAAAAACAATTCATAATATAAATTTGGCAAATAAAAACAAAGGTGATAGAAGAAACTGAGAGAGAGCGAAAAGGTGCCCATTGAGGAGTTTTCATACCTGTTGTTTGTTCTCTTTTATTGTAATAGCACCACTTACATGTACATGTACTACTCAAGCACCAACACCAGTAATAATATTACCAAAAATAATAACTTACTTATTGCTAACAATAATAAAAGGTTATCATTCATTGTCAAAGTATTTAAGGATTAAAGATGACCCTACATATAAAATAAATGGGAAAATTAACATAAAATTGAAATTAATGTTCATGTTAAAGTTAAATTGGTTAAATTTAAACCATTTTTAGTCCTAAATTGCAAAAACATAATGAGTAAAAGCTTATAATGTTGCGTAAATATTGCATACTAGTATTGCTAGCACCATCATGGAAGTCCATTACATTTGTGGAAATGTATTTATAGATAGAAATATTAGGAATGTCTGTCCTTAAACTGGTAAAGTAATTACATTTTCCATGTACTTGCTTTTGCATGCTCTTACACATATTACCCCTATGATCTGTTCTCATCCATATCTTAATGAGCAAACTTGTGTACCGGTTATGTGTTGAAGACCAACTTGAGCTATTTGTCAAGATACAGAGACAGACCAATGAGGGTACTTTCAAGATTCTCATAAAGATGTCAGAAAGCCAGACAAGTGTATAACAGTCAATATTATTATTATAATTAAAGCTTAGGACACCAAATGGAAACACAAAGACATCAACATCACTGGTAGCAGTAAAATGCATACATACTCTATGTAGTAGTAAAATATGTTGTGCTGACAAGTCAGTGTCTTCTTTTTCGCAATATTATGGAAAACACAAGAGGAACAAGAGAAGGGAATTTCAAAAAAGTTAACAGCAAAAAAAAAACAACAATGGAATTATCTAGATGAATACAACAGGGTGAAGAAACCTTGAGAATAAAGAAAAACAATCTTCTCTTGGTGAAGAAACCATGTGTGAAGAAAATGAGTTAACTAATCAGAAAACAGATGAAGTTATTACAGACATACAAACATGTCTAAGAAGAAAGCAAATAGATGAAAGGATATTAAATACAGGCTTATTGAAGTTCTCATAGAAAGAAAATTCCAGACACCAGAAGTCCAGTGACAGATATTTTATAGAAGAAAACTGAAGTTAAAGCCAAAGAGTGAACCATGTAGAGAATGCAAAGACATGTGCTCTCAAAGGACTTAAATGCCTGAAGGAAAAAAAGTTCATGAAGACCTTTCACTTTTCTGATTTAAAATGAGTAGGCAAAGTCTTCCCTGCATCATTTATTATCTAATGTACTTTCAAATAAATTAAGCAGCTGATACAGTAGAACCTGAGTTTGAACTTAAGGGTTAATTACAACAAAATAAGTTTAAACGCCTAAACTGACTGTCTTATTTCTGCTTGGTTACATGCACATGTAAGGTTGTGAAATATGTAAAGGCCAGTCAACTTTACACACAGTTCAAATCTTTATTTAAAGTCACAGGCTCAGGTAATATTAAAGTTTTCATGTTAAGAGCTAAGCAGCACAGGCTTTCCAGCCAGATGCCTTGTTTGTGTACATCTGAAATACATGTTTACTTGATCCTATTTAACGGTGACTTTTAGAAACTTCAATGTAATGTTGTTCTAAGGCCCGGCCGTTCAAGCATCAAACTTCACGCGTTGATCTCCAAAAGAAGAGAGAAAGAGAAAGCTGAAATACGCCTCCTTGCCATAAACTAGCATTTTCTTGTAGCTTTAGAATTGAGTTATAGAGACCTTTAGACTCTAAGACGAGTACGACGACGAGAAAATCAAGTAGTGCTCGCCCATGAACCACAGTCATTAGGGATTTAGACGTTCTCGCTGCCGTCAGAAAATATTGGCTTTGATTTGATGCGAGGCAGCTTTTCTACTCTTTTTTAAAAGAGTAGAAAAGCTGAACTGACTTTTAAGTCTGTTCAGCAGCTGATTTTAATATACTTTGTAGCTGCTTGTTCTCCCAACACGTCATAATTTGTAGCTTTCTTTTATGCAGAAGATTTCCACCTGGATATTTGTGTTAAATGTTAAGCACCATAGGCTGGCATGAGTCCCTTGTCCACCCCGGGGCTCACCCTTTCATCCTTTGGAAGTGAAGGAGAACTGAACCGTCCACTGGTTGATAGTCTTTACTACTACATGATGGCTCTCTCATTCTCTCCGTGTTAATTTTTTCCTTTCGTCGTGCTTTTTCGAGTTTCTATTAAATTCTAGTATCATTTCTTAAAAGGGCTTTGACACGAGTATATTACAGCTGTTTTGGGTCAGTTCTGTGTTTAGGTCATCACCTAGAGCCTTTACCCGTATAAAAATACGACGCTAAAAATAGGAAGATAATAAACAAACTTCATCAGGGAGCACTGACCATAGCGTAATTTTGGGTGATGTTTGCAGACATAGCTTGAAAAAAGTTTCAATCCACGCCCATCCTTGCCATCCTTTGCAAAAGACGACAGGAAACAGTTTCAATGCCTAAATATAGTCTTCAATAGCAAAACTTGATGCGTAGACAAGTTTTACCTTTTTAAAAAGATAACAACTAAGGTGATATAGCCTCTTTAAGTTTTTGGTTGATCACGTTATCGTCTCACGTGATGAGAGCATTCGCCTCCCACCAACGTGGCCTGGGTCAACGTCATATGTGGGTTGAGTTTGTTGTTGGTTCTCTCCTTTGCTCCGAAATGTTTTTCTCCGGGTACCCCGGTTTTCTCCTCTCTTCTAAAACCAACTCTTCCAATTTCCAATTCAATCTGGAACGGACGGACACGTTTCAACGAATTCTTCAGAATTTTAAGCGCTTCGTAAGTAAACAAATTAGTATAGGCAATAGCATGATTTGTAGTGATATTTGTCATAAATACCACGAGTGATATTTCGAAATTGTTATACGTAATTTCACGAACCGTTAGGCGAGTGAAATTTTAGACAATTTTGAAATATCACAAGTGGTATTTATGCCAAATATCACTACAAATCATGCCATTTTTTGTTTATTCCACTACGCGAAAAGGTTTTTAATTTTCACATGTAGGTATTTCAAATTAAACTGAAATACCACTGCTCTAAGCCAATCAAATTGCAGAAATTTCTCATGTAGTAGTATAACAATTGAAATTACAAACTCTTTGTCATATAACCACGTTTGTTATAGAATCGGCTGCGGACCAGTTACTATCCACTCCTTCAAGTGACCCAAGTTCATCTCTTAATACGACGACATCTGCGGAAGGTAATGAACGAACCGAGCCTGAAGCGGTGAAAGATTCACAAGCACAAGTGTCTGTTAAGTCAGAAGAAAACACTCAACCTCACCCCACCCCCACTGAGAATGGCAGTGAAGATCATGTATCCTCTGTAGGTGGGTGTTATTAGTTACATGTATTTTTCGATCCAGGTTCCTCACCCTTTCGTATGATGTGAATTACAGTCAAACCTGTATTAAGCGTTGCCTAGTCTCAAGGCCTTATTATTCCGCGCGGTCAGTGCGTTTCGGGTCACGTAATCCGAGCGAAGAAGCCTCGCGTTCGCCTCAGATACGTCACCGAAATGCATTGACCGAGAAGGCCTTGGGAAAACGCTGTACAAGGACAAGGCAATATTAAGTGGTTACCCTTGGGGAATGGCTTACTGGCCACTTACATTGTACTACAGGTTTGATAAACCTAGAAGCTATTCAAAAAAATGAAGATGGTGAAAGAGCGAAATATCTATTCCACGAGAAATTTTTCTCAAAGGATGACAATGAAAAAATGGGAGTTCCGAAAAGTTGACCGCGACCGCTTAGTACCGTGGAACTTCGCCTTAAGACCACACCCCGTGGTCGCGTTAACGTGGTTCCACTGTATAGTTCAGGTTGACATTAATACAGTGGACCCCCGTTAATGCGTTACCGTTGGGCAATAAAATTCTGGTCGTAATAACGGTGGTCGCATTAACAGGGTCTTCACAAAAATAAAATGACTCAGTGATTCTTACGTTTGGGTCGAAAGAATATTGTCGTAATAACGAGGTGGTCGTATAAAAGGCTTGGTCGTAAGGCGGGTTCCACTGTAAATCGAAATGATTTTCAGGGACTTTGGTAAATGAGCGCTTAACAGAGGGTGACTGCTTAATAGAGGTTAGGTAAATGCTAGTTTTACTGTAGGCAGATCTCGGATGGTCACAATCCTGATAAGCTGGTAGCAGTCTAAAGTGGCGTTGTGTAGATTATTTTCTTAGTCACTTACGTTTGTTTTTGGACAACCTGTTTGTCTCAAAATATGACTTTTTCGTTTACAGAACCAAAAGTTGAAGACCAAGAAAACAGAACGAAGGAATGTATACCAGAGGAAAAAAGACCAGAATTGGATACAACCGTGGATAATCTAACACCAGAACCAATGGAAATACAAAACGACACAACTGAAAACTTATCGCCCTGTGATATGGACATATCAAGCCCAGATTAAGAGTCCTTGCCTTTAACATTCAAGAGCCGGTTCCCATATAAGAATGCAAGAAATCTGCCAATTTTTATTGTTGGTAACATATTGACAAACATGTGACAGTACTGCTGACGAAGTGTCATATAAGCTGACGCAACATGGGATTTCCATTACGTACTCAACAGTATACCGACTCTGGGAATGCAAGTTTCAAGGACAGATGTACAGTACGTGTAGCTTAGGATAGCTTACGAATTCAGCCATCACTCGTCGCTCCTGTCCGAAAGGGAGGTTTGCGGGAGAAACGAAACGTCGAAAAGTCCATGGCACTGAGGAGTAACTAGAGGACTGTATTCGCAGGCTAAGTCTAGGTCGGGTGTCTCCTTTCTCCAAGGGGTCTACCAATCTCACCTCTCCCGCGAGATAGGTGTGCCGCGCGCGAGAATCTCTTTTCGCGCCGACTTGTGAAATGAATGATTGCCCAGTTTAGATAACGTAAACATGACAGTGTTTTTAAAAATCCTGAACAGTTGTTTTCATGTCAGCTTTTAGAAACAGTTTGACAACATGTTTGTCTTTGCGTCATAAGTAAGTCGCGTCGTATTGTCTGTTGCATTTCACCCTTTCGCGAGCTTTATGTAACATAAAAATCATCTGTTGTATTTTTTAAGGAGTTACTTTGTGGAACTGAGCGCCTCTGAAGTCATGCAATTAAACCTCGTATTAGTGTTACTTTTTCTACGTAGCATCTTTACTAACTGTTGTATCGGTTTAAAAAACCAAGTAGTGTCTGTAAGGAATGCCCAGTTCGTACCAGCCTCTTCTTTCGCATATAGTTTTTAAATTTTCTTTTCTATACCTTGTTCCTTGTACTACTCTTTCCTATGTACAGAATAAATTCTTGACTTAGAAATCCCCCATTCTTTGTTTGCTTTGGTTTGTTTGTTTGTTTGTGAAAGAGTGTCGTGACTTTGGCCCAAAAGATCGTGGCTCAAGTAGCCTGGGATTTATTGCGCATGACTGCCTCATTCTACGGGTTCTTCCGGTGCTTTTGTTGTTTAGACTGTTAAGCTGTGAGAAGAATGGAAAACGTCGATTTGAAACCCTTTGCAGCTTTGCAGCTTGCTACACAGGCTGTGGATCAGTTGCCTGGATTTCATCCTCCTCCTTCGCTCGCTAAGCCCCCGAGTGTCTTTGCAAATGAAGAAGGCGGCTGAAATTCAGGCTTTATATAGATCAGGGGAAGACAATAGTTTGGGGTGAACTTCCCAGGCGCAGACAGGATAGTAGCCTGTGAATACAGCAGTTTCTCCTTGTTCCTCTTGGCTGCTTGGGACGTTCTAAACGTCTCAAGTGGCGAGGAGCAAGGAGAAACGGCTGTATTCGGGGCTAACGGAATAGCGCTTTGCACTAATGACGTCACAAGTTTCTGGTCCTGCTGTGACTCGGACATTGAACCTGATCCGTCAGAATTTTGTTGCGGAAAGTCACGTTCGCAAACCGTCGTTGTTGCTTAAGCTCCATATTGTTGTGAGGAATGCCGAGTTCGTACTAGCCTTGTTACTTTTATTTCTTTTCTTATGTACAGAAAAATACCTCGAATTAAAAATCTCTAATCTTTGTTTGCTTTGCTTTGTTTGTTTGTTTATGAAGAATTGTCGGGACTTTGGCCAAAGGACCTTGGCTCCGATACCCTGGGGTTTATTCATGTTTATTGCACGCTACTGCCTCACTCCACGGGTGCTTTTGTTGTTTTTGTTTAGACCGCGAGAGGAATGGGAAAAGTTGATTTGAAATCCCTTGCGGCTACGCCGCCAGCAGCACTTTACAGCAGCACAGGCTATGAATCAGTAGCCTGAACGCTCGCAAAACACAAGTGTCTTTTTATGAGTGGATTTCTTGGGCACAGGGAATTTACAGAATTCCCACAACACTTTCAAGGGGATTGTGTTCCGTGACAAAGAACGGGTTTGTGTTCCCATAACCAGCAGTTACTCTGGGTACCAGAGATCCTTTTCTCGCGTGGGGCTGGAGTACAGTATATATGAGAAGTCACGCGCGAGATACACGTAAAAGGAGGCCTTGCGACGTCAACGCTCACTCGCTCGTTAGCCCGCCCGTCTAAATGTAAAACTCGCTCGTAGGTTACGGTTAGGAAAGGCAAAATACATTCTTAAGTTACTGAAATTACAAGGTAAATCAATAAGCTTGTACTTTGTTTCCAACTGAACCTACATTGTTTTAACAAAGGTTTTTTTGTCTTTAACTTGTTTACATGTTCCTCGAGATGAAAAATCCACCACTATCTTTCGCAGAGAAGACTTTCGTTCCAAACTTCAGAAAATCATAACCTGTTACATTGTTCGTACAGGTCATGAAAAACAAAGTCTGGAAAGTCATGGAATTTAAGAATTTCGTTTTCAAGGCCTGGAAAGTCATGGAATTTCATTTTCGGTCCTTGAAAGTCATGGAAAATTAAAGTTTTGTTCGGTAGATTAGTTACTGCAGATGACAAAGCAAGGGTAATGTAAGATAAAGAGGAGTAATTAAACAGCACGAACGGCACGCATTTTGGTTTATACCAGAGTTTGTTTCTGTTGAACTGTGTAAGGTCAAAAAATATGCTAAAACAAGTGACGTTTTGAAATTTTCGAAAGTGACAGCTAAATGTAAGGTCATGGAAAACTAGAAAAGGTCAGGGAATTTGAAGAACTAGGAAAAGTACTAACCCTCTATTATATTTTACGTGTCCGAAAACAAAGGTACTTGAAAAAAAAATACGTGTTCTGAAAAAGAAGGACATCAGGATAGCATAAGCATATGTCGAAACAAAGAGAAGCTGTCCCGGGATGGGACAGGCGCTGGCGTGGGTGGGGGGCTCCTCATTTTGGAGCCCAGAAACCAAGGTATATTAACACCAAGCCACAAGAGCGCATGCCAACAGCAAGAGGACGCTGACCATTGGTGCTTGGGTTCCATTGCATAAGCCATCATCGCAGCAATTCACTTCACAATCGTCGATGGTAGCTCCATCTTTCACCAAAACCTTACACAAATATTCGTTGCAAAATAATTTACTGCCACATTCTTTAAAAAATCCTTCCACATACGTGTCTGCCACTCTTCCACCAAAATAAAGCTTGACACAGCTGTCTGTACCGGATGGACAGAGCATCTCGCTGCTATTGAAATCGCAGTTACTCCATGATCTTGTTGACATGCACTTGTGGCAATGAAGCGCGAGTCCTGCCAAACAAAATAAAACAGAAAAGTGTCTGGTACTCGCAATTTTTATTATATAGTACAGTGGAACCTCGGTATGACGAAGGCCAAGGGAAAATTTGTTCGCTATAACTGTTAGTTTCGTTATATCGAGGTTCTTTTCCATATACTTTACTATTACTGGGGTAAAGGAAATCGTTCGCTATATTGAGGACTTCGTTATATATATATGGAGAGAGAGGTTTGTTATATCGAGGTTTCACTGTATTGTCGGTCATGAGTCTTACCTAGTAAGAACCTTGATCTAGAATCTGAGTTAGTGCAAGTTGGGATGTTGTAGACTAGTAGAACAAAAAACTGCTTTACGGTTTGAGTAACAGTGACTAATATATGAAGAAGGTTTCACTTAATCGGAAGTTAGAAATAGTTTCAGGGCGCCATGGTAAAGCTCTTATACCCTCAAGTAAGACGGTAGAAAGAAAATCAGCATTTGCTGAAATTGCTATTCCTTATATATCAAAGAGGACCACGGAGGTGAATGGTTGTACCTTTTCTGCAAAAAAGCTGTATAGCCATTCGAAGCATTTCATGTATGTTTTGATCAAAATTTCTGGAAATTTTGGCAGTCTGGTAAGCTCCTACCATTGTTTTTCAAATAGATGATACTGTCACCGTCGTCCCCGCTTTCCGAGGTTTCAGGCCGGCAAGGTCACCGTGAACATTAAAAGCACTGTGAAATCAGCTTTTTGAAAACTCAAAGTACCGTTCTATAGAAGAACATTTTGAGCACTTGTTAAAACAGCTATCTTGAACATAAATTTAAGACATTAAATTTCACGTCTTCGCCAACTTTGAAAAAATGCCTTTCCGCTTTCTTCTTGTCAAGGCATGCAGACTACACACGCTGAGAGGGTTAATCTTTGTTCCCGTGCAAGTGCATACGTGAGGTAGCTCACTTTAAATTTTAAATAACATCCTTGGTCTCTCACTTTTAATGTCGTCGCTGACTTTGTTTTGCTCAGGGACGAATTAATATTAAACTTATTTCGCCTTTTTCAAATTCTCTCTGGAATTTTCGAACTTGGCATTGCCCATCATAAAGAAGAGAAAGGGATGGAGAAAACGACTCAGGGGGAGGGCCAAGGGAGCCACTTACCACATTTGAAATCAAAACGACCGAACGATAAATATTTGTAGCTAACGGTATCTATTAACGAAAAAGCCGCTCGGTCATACTGACCACACTACTCTTGCTTACAAAACAAACAAAATTTAAAAGAAATAACCTTAGGCAGCTCAAGAACTCCTACTATCTCCGTAATGTAGACTTGCCCCATAAGCCGTTTAGATTTCTTTTTATTCTTAAAGTTCGCTTCATTATCTGCTTTTTTATCCGTGCCCGATTCTTTCGATATTTCTTACCACTCATGACAATCCGCAGTCAATACTTACCAACTGAAATGACGAGAAGAAAGGTGACAAGGAACAGGGTGTTCATTTTCTGAGTTTTGTAAGACTCTGTAAATTTCTGCTCTTCTGACACGGGTTCAAGGTGGAGTTTTTTAAAAACGTTCAACGGAAAAACCCCCTAAAATCGATTTTTAACCAATTAAAGGAGCTGTGATGACCTCCTGTCAATTATCGTTATCACACGTGTGATGCCTAGGAGTTTTTAAACGTCTGCCGGGTTGGCCTGTATTGTTCCAATATAACACCGATCATTGGACCTGTATCAGAGAACTAACTGAGGATTTACACACTATCAAACGTCTTAACAGAAGTTCAACTGTATGTCGAGGTCAACAGTTAAAGACTTTGGAAGTAACTAACAGTGTCTTGAAGAAGAACATATCCAACCAACGTTAAGTGGCTGCTTGATTTATCTCACAATTTATTTAGATTTAAAATTTTGGTCTTGTCTTGATAGTTCTTGCTATACACATGGGCCTCATATGAGAGAAATCCCTCAAAATAACCGGCATTTTCGTTTTTATGTGCTTCTGACATGCCCAGGATAGGCTTAATCAAAGCTCGGAAATCAGCCATTGAGATCAATTATCAAGTGTTTTGCGAAGGTCATACGTAAAGGGGGCAGAATTGGCGTTACTCGAGACACTCACTTGAGAGAAAGAAAAATATTGATTAAAGCGAATGTAATTTAGCGACTACAAAGAGGATTTTAATATGACGTCCATTTTTGGCTTACGGGAAAAACTGTAAACGGCGCAGTATGAAAGACCATGAAATTTAGGCCCGGTTCAAACGTCACATTTGATCACATGTGCCGAATGTAATGCAAATGAGCTAGAACAATAGATTTTCCTCCTGTAACATGCGACGTTTGAACCGGGCCTAACCTGTTCCAGGTTAAGCCGGGCCAATCAATAACAGAAACACTTGTGAGGGCAAAACCACATCGACAAACCAGTGAGGGCAGCCGGATGTTTATAGAAGACCTGGATCAGTAAAATCTTTAATACCAAATTTCATTTTTGTTTTTCTTTCTTTATTTTTTTTTCTACACTCCTACCGTAAGGTTCAGTTTACTGTTTAAGATGTTTTTAAATATTAAAATTTGGCAATCAATAATTAACACCCAGTATCACTTTAGCTGACGCCACTGCTTCTAAATGCAAAGTTAGTAATAATAACTACAAGGTGTTCCTTATAATGGAAGAGCATAAACAAGAAAAACAAAACTTTCCGATACTGAAACAGCGGGTTTGCTGGAGAGGAGCCGCATCCCGGGATGATTGCGGGCTCTTTTTCTGCTAGGTAATCTATAAACGTTTAACGATCCACTGCGGGATTACACGTCGATGCGGTTGATCTCTCATCCACTCTAAGCTTTCCCCGCAGGATTCTTGATGTAGAAAGGGCACAAGGGTTTATATAAATTGTGTAAATGTAGATTTATTCATGACTTGACCATATACGTTTTATACTTCTCTTGCCAGCTTTCTATCCTGCTGTGACAAACTAAACTTGCAGCGACACGTTTTACTCCATCTGTGGATTCCATCACGAGGGCAAAAAACGTTGTTGACCCCTAACCTTGGACTTTGTTTTGTTTGTTTGTTTGTTTGCTTTTTTGTGTGTTTGTGTATGTACTTGAATTTTTTTTTATTTTAATGTATTTTTCTCTGAGGAGGGTCAGGCCTGATTAGCGAACCTTGGACGAATTTATGTAGCCATTATATTTTTACATAGTTTTTATAAGTGACTCTTGACTTGAACAACCTAAATAATTTCTGTTCTAAGAAGATGATGAGGTTTAGCCGAAGTTAAAGTTTTGTTTCACCTTTCCACATGGGAGAGTTTAAAAATCAGGAGCAGGGTTTCTTGGCATCAAATGTCTCTGGTAATACAGTCAACTCCCCAAAGGGGTACTCCAAATTTCAAGTGAAGGGGATGATTGAATGGGGCAAAAAAAAAAAAGAAACCAAAAAAATCCCTAGGCCTTCCAGCCATACCCCCAAAAAATCCCGGAATCGGAAATTTCAAACCCCAAAAAATCCTTCGATTCATCCCCGTCACTTGAAATCCGGAGTACTCCACATGGGGTCACCCCTCTAATACGGACAGCAGCTGAATCCCAGACTGAAATAAACTCCAGGTATAACGGACTCGAGATCGCTATTGAGGACACTAAATCGAGTTCCTTACAGTGTCCGCTACTGAAGGAAGTTAACTGTAGCCCTGGCCACATTAAAGACCAATTTCGATAATTTATATCATTAAAAAATCTTCCCCAGGGGAATAAACAATAAACGGTTTAGGGCTAATAAATAGTAGACTTATTTTGTTTTATTCCTTCAAGAGTCTGAAAATAACGGGGCGGTGGTGCTGCCTTATAGAAGCCGTATATGTATGTGCAGCCCCAAATTATTAACATCTTAATCCAGTGTACTGCAACTTTTATTTGTTTATTTATAAATCTCTTTTATTTTCCTTGTTAAGTCTTAAAACGTATCAGCTCACGTAAATAGTGTCCCCACACTGCCTGCCTAGTTAAATTTACACTTTAATTGGATATTAATAATAAAGCTACGCGATAAACTCATACAGTGCCGAAGTGAGCACAGATCTTACGAACTAACAGAAAAACGCGGCAAGAGCGCATGCCAACAGCAGGAGGGCGCTGACCATTGGTACTTTGGCTCCATTACACAGATCACTTTTGCAGCAAGTGACGTGACGCTTATCGATCGTCACGCTTTTCGATGCTTCTTTCCTACAAACTTCTCTGTTGCATTTTGAGTAAGCCCAACATGCTTCAACAAAGAACTTTGAGGGCACACCTTTCGATTTTTCCTCATAAGAGATTTTCCCACAGACATCGTAACTGGAAGGACAGGTCATCACCTGTTTGTTAGAATCACAGTCATCCCAACTCTTACTTGAAACGCATTTGAAGCACTCTAGGCCATGACCTGCAAAACAAAGTTTGAATTTTAAAATATGTTGTATTCAAAATTTCACAAAGTCTGGACAACGCCTTGGTAGAATGTCTACGCCAGTTAGTTGCACGTGGCAGTGTCCAACTCGAAAGCCTAAGCTTCTTTGGTCACTGTGCATATTTCCCCTTTGATGACTCAAGTAATTTGTAATTTTTGTAGTAACCTCTTGAAATAGGGCAATACATTTGGACGAGGCCTGAATCTATGCAGATGTTGCATGTGTTTCACAATGAGTTATCTCAGTTTTTGAAAATCATAAACGATAAAGAAATCTTAGTAATCTTCGATAACCAACACATAGGGGTTTTTCCCTTAGCTTCCTTAATATTTGATTTTATCTTTTTGGACCAAGCCGCTTTTCCGTAAATTACGATGCTCATTGACAAGTGAAAAAGTCATTTGGTGACAGATCCTTCAGTGTGGCTGCGCCCACTTTATGGAACGCTCTTCCTGTTAGCCTCCGCAGCATCAAATGTATTTCTACTTTTAAATCTAATCTTAAGACTTATCTTTTTAAATTAGCTTTTAATATCTCTTAGATATTAAATATATTTGTATATTTCTAATATTTGTATTAATAGTTTTTAGGTTATTTATTGTTGTAATGCGCTTTTGATCACCTAGCATGTTAAAAAGCGCACTATAAATGAATAAATTATCATTATTATTACAAGCATCAATCAAGACACGAACAACTGGATCACAAAAAAATATTTTCATCGATAAAATCCAAATAAATGTTTTACAGTTCGTCCGTGCAGAGGGAAGTAAGCCTGAAAAAAAGGTGAATCATTAATCCTTAAAAAACTTTAAGTGGACAGGCCAGAATGTGTTGAAGAGCAATGTAAATTACAGTCAGCTCTCGCCTTGCGACCATCCCGCTATAACAGACACTCCGATAATACGGACAGCAGCTAAATCTCAGGAAAAAGTAAATTACAGACATTTGTTGACTGACATAAACTTCCGCTATTACGGACTCACGCTAATGACGACACTAACTCGAGGTCCCTACAGTGTCTGCGCTATAAAGGGAGTTGACTGTAGTTTTTTTTTAAAATACAGACTGCTATTGCTAAATTAAAAAAACAGAACATATTTTTGCGTAGATCAGGAATCGGCGAGCGAGCGAACTTATGTACAGCCAAACGAAAAGTCTGGAACGATAGTTAAAAAAGGAAAGGAAAAAAACGACTGTTTTGCAATCTATTTTTATAACTGATGAACTCGAATGAACTTATGGCATATCAGTCGTTTTCGGCCTCTCTTTTTCGAATGAAATGATAATTTTCTAGTCCATATTAATAACTTTGTGAAGCTAATCTCACCTCCAGAAACATAAGGGCTGGGGAAGTTAACGTGATACCTGACTACATCGTACACACTCAATGAAACTTAAAATGAGCAAACACTTGCTAAAGGTAATTAAACTTAATGGACATGGCTATAAATTTTACAAACAATTCAAACAGAGTACCCCATTAGTTGAGGCCAAATGCGTTACAGACTATCATACCGTCACTCTTCTTTTTTTTTCTTTCCAGTAATGAATAACAACTTAAAATAAACGAGTTCAGTTACAACCTTGAAAGTCCAACGGCCATTACAGGATGTAACCCAGAATCACTTGATTTCCTTAAGTTCGCTCTGGCCAACGCAGTGTTCTTAACCGGTCAGCTCAGTTTGACTCACTCACAATCAGTTACGATTTATAGCAACTTTATACAGCTTTTTACTTAATCAATTAACTTGATACAAGACAATTGTTGTGGTTAACTCGCTTAGCAATCAGCACCATAGTTTCTAAAGAAGCCTAAGTGCCCCCTTTCATTCCCATATGTGTATTAAACGTTTCTATCGGAAATATGCGGGTACAAACTGTAGTTTAATGATTTGGCTTAAAAGATCAACATAGGGTTACAGATAAAGATGTCCTGGCATAAAATCAATTCAAATGAATATATTTCATTTTAGGTTCTGACTTACCAAATGAGAAGGATAGTAAAAGGGCAAACTGAATCATCAAAACATTTACCATGCTGTCAAGCTTTGAAGAGACTTTTTACCACAAAAGTATAATTTCACAACTTCACAAACTGAGATTCGTGCACGACCACACCGCTTCAACTAGAATCTTTGATGGCTTGCCAGTCAATTTGAAAGATAAAATACAAAATAATTCAAACCATCTTTCCTAAGTTTTGATTGGTCTAGGTTTTACAGACGTCATACACGGACAATTGTCTGCTGTTTTTGCTACAATCAATTCGCTATTTGCATAGACTGCAAAACAGTCGGTTTTTTTCTCAAAATCAGTAAAGAAATCGTTAAAGCGTGGCGTACGAGTCTTACGCGCGCGAGAGAAAAAAAACTGTCTCTCCCCAGTCTCACTCTCCGTTTTCAGCCTCGTTCCAGACCTTTTGTTTGACTGCTCGCGCTTACTTGAATACGCAAAAATACGGACTGTTTTGCAGTCTACTATTTGCACATCTCCCATAATATACCTTGTTTGCCTCCGAAAATTTGATATAACCTTTGTTTTTACTAAATTTCTTCTGAGTATTACAGTCTTCCGAAGAGAAATTGCTTATGCAAAATTTTGGGAGGCAATATCAACAACAATAACTACAAGCTTTATTTGCATAACCATACAAGTACACACAGCATTGCAAATTTTTTAAAGCTATTTTAAGAAGAAGAACTAAAATTACACCATAGGGCAATTAAATAACTTTTGGATCAAAGCAAGCTGAAATAGGTCTCACGAATTGTATATTGCTAAAGTAATTAGTCAAGGGGAGTTCATCAGTTATCGTATCTGGGTAATATTTGGAATAAACTTTATTGTAAAAATCATTCCTAATCATAGAGTATGTAGGACAACGAAAAAGGAAGTGAACTTCGTCTTGTACTAGATTGGATCCACAAAGAGGGCAATGCCTATTATCTTTTGTAGTTTAGTTGTATCTACCTAGACCTGCGGTTGAGTTGTTTTGCTTGTGAAAACAAAAATGGCGGACATTGTAATCGTTTTAAGAGTAAGAACTAGGCGAAATAATAGCTAAAAACATGGCAAGAACAGCATGAAGACAACTCGAAGGGCGGCATCTGCTATTCAGAGAATATTTGCGGAGCTGAACAACCCTAAACGTGCACTATCGAAGATGAACTTAACATCGATGGAGGTAAGCATGTTTTACCCTTGTTTTTAAAAGATCTATAAAATTCACGTTTTTGAGAATGCTCCTGTTTCATTGAACTTACGTAGCTTTTTACCACGAAGAGCAGTATCTAATAAATCAGGACTAAAGTCAGGTAGGTTAAAATATTCTGACATATTCATCAAATGAGAGTGGAAGCTATTTTTGCCATTACAGCGTTCATCAAATGACATGAAAAAAGATTGTTTGCAAACAAGGTGCATCATGAGAGACGTGCAAATCAAATGGCGAAGGCCCCTGCTCTATTTGTAAGGTGGCTAGTTATCGGTTCACGCGCTAGAAGAAACATCCTGGCTAACCTAATTTTTCTCAGTATACACACGAGTTTTTAGGCAAGTGTGTACAAGTCACAGTGGCGGATGCAGGGGAGGGGCCCGGGGGGCTCGGCACCCCTTATCTCATGGTCTGGATGACCGGGCCCCCCCTCTTATCTGAAGGTCTGGAGGGGCCACTGACTCAGGCCCCTTAAGGCATGACTATCTAATTAAATATGCATATTTTGATAAAATGCTATTTAGAACGGTTTGCTTTTATCAATGATCCTGAAAATTGAACTAAAATGTAGTTTAATGGCCTAAGTAATATGAGACATTTTAGAAGCTCAAATTTTCGTCACGTGACTGATAATTGAGAATTAAATAAAAATATTCACTCTAAAACGCGGAAAGGATAATGCGGAAAGAGCAACAAGTTTTTTTTGGTACATTTTAGAGGTTATTAAGAAGGTTCTGAAAAATTCGCCTTGTATGTGTGTTTACGTTTTATAGGAATTGGTAAATATAGGGAAAAGGGTCACGTGACTTATTAATTAGTTAAATAGCTAATGGGATAAATAACATTTCCAATCATACGATTTACACTGTTTATGTAACATTTTGGTAGTGAAAATTCGCAGCCGCTTAAAAATACTTTAAAGCGGGAAACAAAATTGTAACATTGCCACAAAACGAGTTAAATAGCTATGCTGGGCGTTTTACCACCCACGAATCAAAGCAAATCAGGTTGTCCCAGGTAGCGAAAGGTTGTTTAATACTGAAAGTAAGAGTTGTTCTACTTTTTGCAACAAAATCTGTTCATGTTGCTCGTTTTACCAGCCCAGGGCAAACTTGTTTTGCAGCAAGTGACGAGACTTCCGTGTATGGCTTGTCTGCCGCGTAATTTTGTCCAATCAAAAGTCATGATTCACGCAAATTGCAGTTGACTGGTAAAACACGCGACTTTGCTTTTCAACTCGTTTTTCGGTATTTTTGCAAAATAAGTTTTACGTTTTCGCTGCCGTTTTAACGTAGCTTATTAAGTTGATTACACGTAAGTGCGAGGATCGTTCCCTGTTAGAATCTTTTTGTAACATAGCTAGGGTGCTAAGACCTATTGTGTTATTTGGTTACCAAAAATACCAGGACCCAAGTTGTAGACAATTCTGGCAGAAATACTGATTATGATTTGGAAATAATGCTCACCGATTGATCTTTGTTGGGGAACTCAGTTAGTTCAGCGGTGAAATTTCCACTTTTTTTCGTTTGTTTATCGTTCTGAAAACAAGTGAATCATAAAGATGTTGAGAAAAATTATGGACATTCCGAATAACCGAACAATCTGAAGAGACAAATTACACAGCAGCAAAAACAAGACATCAATTCATTACTCACAAAAAGAACTACAGCGAGGTTCTCTAAAGTAGCCTAGCTTGTGGCGAGTACATCATTGTGACGAGTACATCATTGTTTTCATGAACAAATTAAACGTATAAAAAAGTCGTGATAGTCGTTTTCGCTAAACGCCAAGTTACTTGGATTTTGCCGAGCAAAACAGTAGCAATTTAACGAATGCAAACCAGGCTCCAGGCCTTTTTATAAACATTTTAAATTTTTAAATTAACTTTATGTCGGCTTTTAAACCCTTTTACCACCATCAACAACCGGGTAGAGGTTGTTCTATGTCGGAAAAATTAAAAAAAAATCATTGTCAGTTGGAGAAGAACTATTTTCTTTCAAACTAAGCGATGGTGGTGCGTTTGTCACCAGCCAATGAAAGCGTTTGCTTTTCTGGGCCTTAACGTTAAGAGATTTTTCCTGTTAATCAATAGACAAACGTTTTTGTCAAACTTTGTTATGAAAGAATTGGTTCATGTTGTGTGTACTTACACGTACACTAGTACACGTGGGGAGTTAATTAAGACTGCTGGGAACTTCCCGCGTGCACCATTACTCGATTTACGCACACTGAGCATCGAACTAGTTCTTAAATTTCGCAGTTCAAATTATCATGTGAACTTTAAGTATTCTTTCATTTTGAAGTGGGTTATCTCACCTACATGGGGTTCCCCACCCCCATGTAAACAGGCCCTTATTTTTCTTTTGAGCCACAGTAGATTGAAAGCACGCATCAGAGGAGCGAGCAGTGAAGCCGCGTGCAACGAGGACGGAAGTGATTGAATTGTGGAACTTGACTCGACAACATGTTTCACCTCATCAATGTCCGAGTCATACCTGGGCCTGGGAATTCTGAGGGTTCAAACGTTCCATGGACTTAGACACCATGTTGCCATCAATGTGAGCTTAGATCATCCTTTGTACTTTCCTCTAAAGGACATCGTGAAGTTTGGACTCTTTTCAATGGAATTTGGTCCATTAAAAGCCGTTAATTCATTCGTGGATTGTTATGCGGACGGGTTGACTACTAACAAACCATCTCTCTATCTTTCAAAGTCAGTCTTGTATTAAGCTTTGATTTTCCCCTATTTTTATTAATGATGGAAACTTGGACTCTGAATTCCCTTGAAAACGCAAATATAGACAAATGTTCCACCCCGCAACACTAGTTGCATCCTGAAACCTACCTCGTTTACAAAACTTAAAACTTGACCTTAACACTAGGTTGTGGAGAACTTAACGGAAAAAAGCTAAAAAAACGCATGCAAAAAGCAGGAAGGCGCTGACCAATGTTACTGTAGCTGCATTGCACAAGTCACCTTCGCAGCAATGGACTTCACACTTGTTAAACGTTGCTCCTGATGGTTTGAGTGTTTTGCATAGATCTTGGTTACATGACGATTTGACGCTACAATCCTTGACATAACCTTTAATATCCGTGTAATTCAGTTTCCCCTCAAAATAAAGCTTTGCACAGGCATCCTGTTCAGCAGAACAAGCTATTTCTTCCATTCTTGATGAGCAGTCATCCCAGCCATTCTTAGACCTACAGTAGTAACAACTCTTATGGTCATGGCAGTATCCTTGAAAACCGGAAAGAACAGACGTTACTACTCAGTCCAAAACCTTAGTGGCTGTTTATGATTACATGGAGGGAGGAAGATCCTTGCACGAGGAAGATCTTAGAAGGCAGAACAACTTTTCGTTACAGTCCGTGCAGGGCCGAAGAAGAGAAGGATCCCGAAGGAATTAAAAAAGCGGGCGACAAAAACAAAAATGCAATTTGGACCCTTCTTCTCTCTTTGCCGGAGTTAGTAACTACTTTTCAGAGGAATTATTACAATAATCAGCTCAAGGTAACGCCAAAGAAAATGGCGGGCCTTTATTGCCGTGATTAGCCACTGACAGGGTCGTCACTTGATTCCATCTACCAAACTGACATCCTCCTCTCACAAGACATTTCACTTGTCTTATATGAAATTTCTTGATGAAATGTTCATAAAAGTCAAAGTGTCTTCAATTTTTAAGGGAAAAAAAACAATTTAGGATACAATGAGTAGGGTTCGAACTCGGAGCATCCGATCTGGAGTGCATCACTCTAACCCCCACACCATCGAGGATTTGGTGACAAATGCCAGTTTGAGTTAAATATATAACCCTAACCCTAACCCTAACCCTAACCCTAACCTAAACCCTAACCCTAACCCTACTTTGTGTACGAATCATTAATGTGTCAACGTCAGTTTGGCGGATGGAAATAAGTGTTGACCCACTGACAGACCCACGGTCTTTTGTCCCTTGATCCTGGCTGTAGGGACAAGTACTGCCCTTTGCATGTAAAACATAAGGCCCTAGGATGATTTGACTTCTCAGTAGGATTTTCCTCCCTCCATGTAAAAAGTCCCTTTAGTAAAGAAGAATCTCGATTTCTCTAACATTCGGATGGCTTTTTGAAATTCCCGATAATTCGAACCAAATTATTAACCTAACTTGTCTTCACCAGTAATTTTATCCCCCATGTTTCAGATTTTACTGACATGTCCTTAAAGAATAAGTTGAGAGAATTTGATGAACGATCAAAGCACTTCCCTTAAGTGATAATTTTTTATTACTTCTCGCAATCTTTTCGTTTGATTGTGTATTGATATTGTTTGGAGAAAATTGATTTTGGTCACGCTTGGGACTTAAAGGGGCTGTGTCAGGAAATTCAGCCAAATTAGATTATTGCAAAATGCTCGTTAAATTAAAAAAAACATAAAAATAACCGCTTAAAACGTTAAAGGAAGGTTAAAATAACGCAACAGATACAACAGCTGCCACGGATGGGCAAAACTGAAGAAGACTGAAACGGATTGAAATTAGGGTTTTTGAAAACTGTTCAGCCTAACAGTTTTTTAAAGTTTATCTCTGCTGTTTGCAGCTTCAAAAATAATGCTCAGGGAACATATCTGTTTGTCTCTAATCTCTGATTTTGTCAATTACATCATGTAATTTCTTTGCCTACTTTCACTAGTTCCATAGCGACTGAGGGCGAGTAATTGGCAAAATTATACAAAGTGAAGTGGACTGCCGTGACACAGCCCCTTTGAAGGTAGCATGCGATTCTTTAAAACCGCACCGTGACGACCAAACGCGAACTCAGTCGAAGTCCAGTCTAAAAGGTTCACAGTAATAGATCCGTGATTAAAAGAATATATATAAATATATATGAAACAATATTAATAATTAAAAACCAAACAAATAAACAAAATAAATCGTGTGACTGGCTACATGTCCCTGCCCTTGATCGACCTTGAATTCTTGCTTTGGTTTCTTAGAAAAAAGTAGACACATTGAATTCTGCAAAGCTGATCGTACTACGTGAAAATTAACTTTGCAAGACATCAACACCACACCGAAAGAACTTAAAACAGAGCGGGATTGTAGCCATAGAGCGCTGTTTCGCCATTCTTATGTACGATCAGCTTTGCAGAATCCATTGTCTAGTTTGCGCCCGGTGGGGGTACTCCCATACATTACCTATACGGGTATGTGCCGCCCAAAGGGGTCGTGATTTTGAAGCTCCTGGTTTAGAACGGGGTATCCATTTCAGACGCGGTTTCTAGAACGGGGTATAATATTTCGAACGCATGAAAGCTCTCCACTTTTGTAAGCAGCCATTTGAAAGCATTCAAGGACAGATTGCTTTTAAAAATACGGTTCAGTGCGTTAACAAGCAAACCGTTGTACTCTTGTTGCACCCTAGAACGGAGTATAAAAAATTGGCCCATTTCTAGAACGGGGTGTTAGTTTTAGGGCGAATTCTAGAACGGGGTATAAAAAATTGGCCTATTTCTAGAACGGGGTATCAATTATAGGGGAATTTTTTTCTAGAACGGGGCGCCAATTTGGAATCCCGGGCGGCACATACCCCCCCAAAAAAAACCCAAGTGCCCCCCCCCCCCCCGGGAGTTTGCGGTCCTTTGCAGTTTAAATGTCAATTCAATTTTTTTAAGTAAATGGTAAAGGCTCAATTTTCGTTTTGTCTGGTCAATAAAATTCCGGCGGACAAAGGTGAAACGAAAAGAGATATTAGCACGACCAAGTGAGAGGGAATGCATAAGAACCTTTTTTTAGAAGTGATGCAAAAATGGCGGGCGACGAAGCGAAACAGGAAAACTACTGACGATCCGGACGGCAGAATTGAAGTTACTTCCAGTAACAAAAATAGCGATCTAAGTTGTTAACATGCAAATTGGAAGACACAAAAGCATTATATGCTCAATATAAAAATAAAATAAAATAAAAACAATAAAAAAAAATAAAAACAAGAGACTTACTTGCCACCCATATAGTAGCCTGTGAACAGGCTTTCTGTTTGGGGAAAGGATATGCGATGAAAAAATACCTCTCCTCGCGATCATTTCACCAAACAGAGAGCCTGTTCACAGGCTGCTTCCATAGCACCGTGATTGCAATCAAGATGAATTATAAAACACAATTTATACCACAGTAAAGTTAAGAAAATGAGATGTGACCCGCAAAAACAGACTCTGGCCGAAGCGGCATCTGTAAAATTTGGGCCAGTCTAAATCTACATGTATTTTACGTTTTCCACTTTTCTTAAACCTCTCACAATGCATCCTACCGGCTCATCCGACACTATACTGTACTTACCAAGCGAAATACAAAGAATTAAGGCAAACACGAAGCTGATTGCCTTCATTTTTCATTTAACTGGTCTTCCTCAGTTAACACACGAAGCAGGAGTTCAAAGCTGGGACAAATGTTTGTCAATTCTATTGTTCACATATTTTGAAGGCACAATTCACGTGATCGACACACAGCCGTTTTTAGTGTCGTCACGCAACGTTAATCTTTTTGAAAAGCGACTGTGTAGCAGACAAGTGATCGATGTGAACAAGCCTGTATGCCACGCTTTCAACACGAGAGTGGGGCTTTATCACATGTAAAAAAAAGACAAAGCGGAGTGACCCAGCCATTGACCCACGGGCGGCATATTCAGCGTTACGTGCCATGTTCAATATTTCTTGGGTTGAAAAACAGGCCCTTCGTTGCCTAGTGCCGGTACGGCGTTTTCCCAGGCCTTCTCGGTCCGCTTGTGACCTCATCAGTTTTAATAGCGGTCAAATTGCTATTATCTTTGAACTTTCTTCTACTATTTTGCTGGTTGCCGGCGTTTAAATGCTACATCATGATTCAGTGCGATTTATAGTTGTCGCTACACTGCTCAGATGTTTGTTTCAATTAATATAGTTAGAATCGCATAATTGCATAAAATCTCGCATTCTGATTGGTTAACGGAGCCATGATAGGCTCCTGAAGAAGCGAGGTATTTTGCGTGGAATTGCGAGTTGAAGACGAGAGTAAGTGATAATCGTTTCGCATCTACATATACGTAACAACTATGGTCACATTGTAACACCGGCAACTGCAAAAATTGCGATGACTTTCGATGACTTTCAGTGCTTTCGCTTGGACACTTCAATTCTTTCGTATTTGCCACCGAAGAGGTAAAAGGTGTAAAATTATTTTCCTTTTCGAGCAAATGATTTGGAGATTTGAAAAAAGATGTTATAGATAAACGGCTCGTAAATTCAGTGAAATGAGCACTATATTTATCCTGAAGATTAGTGTGAAGCTTGTTTAAAAAGTTTGAAAACAATTAAATGCAAAAAGAAGCGCAAGGTACAAATAAAGTTGTCGAAGGTTCAAACGTGTACGACTGGCCTTGCTTCCTGTTCGCTAACACAATAACGGTTCTGACAGTTGACTTTGAAATGGCTTTCTGGAGCGTGCGCCCAGGATAAAACCAACTTTTTTCTTATTTTCATTCAATTATGCGATTCAAGGAAAATCCATTACCTGACACGTGAGTTCTGCGTTAAATTGCACTTGTATCGGGAGCCCATTCTTCTACTTGTATACAACATCTCATCAGGAGGCCGAATTCCTTCATCATATTGGTTCAAAAGCGAGGCCAATTTAGCCTTAGCTCAGTAGTTTTACCGTGCGACACATTACTTCTGGTTTTTATTACGACTTGCTCAATTGTAAAACTCCCTGGAGGTAAGCATAGAGTTCGATTTTTTTCTTTTAATTCACTTATTTCTGTCTCGGACACGTCTGCGCCGAAACCTCCTAAATGCCCGCCACATTTTATGTGGCGCGCGCGGGAGTGATCGTACAGTGTTTAGGAAGAAACAGGTCCAGCAAGACTTCCACGCGGCAATTTTGTGTTACAAAAACTATCCTTATAAAAAAGAGGAAAAGCTCTATTAATCTTGTGCGACATTTTCTTCATAAAGAATGGAATGTGTTGAAAATTGTAGACCAATCAACGAATTGAACCAGAACAGTAAGGAAGCACCGAATCTCTACACAAAGTATTTAGGCGCTGCTCCTCAGTGTTTTGCATCTGGTATCTTAATTCAAGCACTCTTTTCATGAATTAAAATAGCCCCTACCAGCACCCTCCACCTCAACCCTCGTTGCCAGGGTTCTCACCTACCCGTCTTTTCTTTCTCCTAATCAAGTTTATAGCCAGTGTGAAGACCCATCACCCCTCTGGTCTTAATAGGGTTAACCGTTATGGAGGTACATCTAATCGTTTCAATACAGGCCTAGTTTACAACAGAGCTAAAAGAAACCTGACTTGGTTCTTTGGTTAGTCAATAACTCCGCGAAAATTGTATTGAATTGCATTGAATCTGGACTCGCTGGTGATGACTTATCGGCAGACGTGTATTGGCCTGTGATGCGAGTTGAACGGCATCTATTTCCTAAAGTTCGGTAACGCTCATAATGACAAGATGGCTCTTTAAAAACAAACTTTAATAAGAAAACGCAACAAAAAGGGCCCATTGAAAACTTTAGACTAACAAGTGCAATTTGAAATCTACTTTTTAAACTTCTTGAAAATGTTACAATTTTCTTTGTTACCCTTCAAATTGGGTCCTCAAGAGATCATAATATGAGGAAAATCAAGCTTACGAACAAGGCATAACTAAAAAAACTACTTTTCGTGCTATAACACGCAGGTTATAAAACTGAAAACTTTGCACTTAACAGTTTTTAACGAAAAAAAGCGAGAAGAGCGCATGCCAAGATCAAAAAGGCGCTGACCAATGGTACTTTAGCTCCATTGCACAGGTCTCCCTGGCAGCAGTTGACTTCACACTTGTCGATTGTTATTCCTGCTTGCATTGCCTTACACGCATCCTTGTTACAGCTCGATTTGATGGCGCATGTTTTGCCATAACCTTCCACTCCTGTGCCTGCCACTTTTCCATCGAAGTAAATTTTACCACAGCTGTCGAAACCGGAAGTACAACTCATCTCTTCCTTGTTTTTGTCGCAGTCATCCCAACTCTTCGCTGAGGTACACTTGTAGCACTTAAGACCGTATCCTGTAAAAAAGAGAGGAAGAAAATCATCACTCTTATCGAACGAAAAGCAAAACCAACAATTTTTAAGAGCTGAATCATTCAGCATTGCAAGCTTTTTCACTCTGTGGTGAAAATAAGAAACTATATCTAGCATGCAAAACAGGCGTATTTCGCAGTGCGAACTATTTGGACGCTGAAACTGATAGAGAGTTGGGCCGAGTCCAAAAATAAGATTCCAAGGTTAACGGGTCACAATAGGGGGGGGGAGGGAAAATTTCGCTTTTCCTCCCCACTCCTGCTTCCTTAGTTTTCCTATTGTTTTCATGATGGGGGCCGCTATCAATGTACCTCTTTCTTTAGAAAAAAGCCAAGTTTATATCGAGTTCTCTGTCTAGGTCTCGAGTGACAGATCCAGTTAAGAAGATTTGGAGGCCTACAACGTTTTTGTCAGGCGACAAACTCGTTTGTTCCTTGACAACTGTCCTTCGTCGGGTCATGTTATTTCGTGAAGTGACCAATTAAATTTCCTTTAATTTTTATTGACGTTTCTGGTTAGACAAAAAATTTCTCGTGCCTCAGAGTGCACAAGTTTTTTAAGAAATCGGTTAGTAACAAATTTTCACATTATTCGCCGACGCTTAAATCTTATTTTTGTCGTAGTGCAAATAGGACCCAAAATGGCAGTAGTGAGCGAGCAAGGAGTCGCGCGGAGTCATGCGTGAGCTGCGCATGAAAAGAGACGCTAGAGCGAGGAGCTCACCGGCGCGCAAAAATCTATCAATGATGTTTTTCGAGGGGAGGATTGCATCTACAGCTTCGCTCAAATGTTCCGCGAAAGTTTGTATTTTCGCTTTTTGTCGAGATCGGTGAGGTGATGAAATCGAAAATTGGCATAAGGGTAGAAAGCTCCTCTTTGCACGTGAGAAAAAAACCTCAGTGGTAAGGGTAATTGAAGAGTGTAATGTTTCTAAAACGTTTGCTTATGAAAGTTGATATCTGCTTGATTGCTATTACAGTTAAACCTGTAATACCCTCTATTAGGTGGTCTGTAGCCGAAGTCACTTATTTATTTCTCATATTTACTGTAAATAGTGTGGCTAGAACCTCTGTCCAGGGAGAGGGTCCAGAGAGTCTGGACCCTCCTTAGTTACAAGTTATATAATTGACTAAAAAAAACGTGTAACAGCCGGGAAGGGTGGAATTGATTAGCTGTAAAGCAGTTTTTTTTAAAAAATACATTTCAATCCACAATCAAAAAGGGGCTAAGATCGCGGAATGTCGGATAGAATTCGGTAGAGTTCGTCGTGGAGTTCGTCGGTGGTCTCGGACTCAACGCGATAGCATTATGGCTGACTGCAGCAGTAAAGCCACAAAAACGAGATTAAATTGCTCGTGACGCTCACACCCTCCCCTGCTGGTGAAAACATTTCCAGTTCCCCATTTTGGTATGTTTGAGATTCTGTTCCAAGCCACTGGTCATCGAGTTTCAAAAAGAAGTGTAAGTCAGTGATGATTAGTAGTCAAAAAGTAAAAGAATTTTGCGACAACAACGAGAGAGTATGTTTTAGCGTTGAAGATGATCCAAAGCTCTGAAAGCTGAGTTAGGTGCACCACGGTTTCTGAGGTGCTTAATTTTGTTGAATAAGTTGGATTTCAGGGACGAAGATAAATAAATTGAGTAATTCAAATACCTTGCTTCGCGTGATCCTAAAATACAGCAACGAGCTTCATTTTCGTTGAAAACTGAAACGCTTCGCTTGAAAACTGAATTTGTGTTGGCCTATAAAAGCACCAGCAGTTTATACTCCGGTATCAAGGTGTAAGTTTAGTAGATTAGCAGCGTTATGACACGATAAATAACTACATTTTAAACACCTAAGTTAAAAACCTTGGTTCTGAAGTGTTTTACTTAACTCATTTGACCGAGGTGAGGGATGTCGCCGTGTCCCTAAAAAGATCACCTAGAATTTTCGGGATCCTTTTTTCAGGCTGAAATTTTCGTAAAGATAAGTTTTGATCCCTATAATTTTCGGATCATTAGACTTTCAGCTAGGAAATCCGAACAGATGAAAAATTTTTAGGGGATAAAAATATGCCTATATCTACCGTTTAAATACTAAAATACGTTTAACAATGCTGTGATTAAGTGGTTTTGAACTATATTCTCGTTGGGTGCCCCTGAACAGAAACATCTGTTTTTGAGTTTTCCTACCAATGCCTGAATTCTACGCTTGAGGAACTCATAAAGATTAAAGTTATATTTATTCTGAGATAAGGAATGTTTAGATAGCAAAATCTCCTAAAATCGGTAATGTTTTTAACCTACATAAGAGCTTTCCTCGCAGTCAGCTAAATGCCGCGTCACGCAAAATCGTGGAAATTCAAGCGTCCTGTATCGCAAAACGAAGGACCCTTTTGAGCCGAAAACTTGTTTGTATGAAGGTTTTGAGGTGTTGTAATACCACATGAAAGTAGAAACTCAGAGGAAGCGATAGTTTTTTTGTTTGAATTTTGAACGGAAATACAAACCGTATCACCAGCACTCTAAATCAAATTGGGTAAATGTTTTGCTGAATTCTGTAGCACGAACGCCCAAACTGAACCAGCTTTTCAAAACGCAACTCTTACAATTTTCTTTTCGCTTAGTTCCAAGTACATCATTTAATGTCAACGACAATGAAACACTAGTTGTAGATCGATCCATAAAGAACGATCTAAGCGAGATTTAGGCGGCGCGCCCCACCCCCTTCGTACCTGGCACGAAACAAACAAATGGAGCGAGTGAGAAGCTACGAGGCTATAACAGCACTTAGATGACTAAATAAAAGTAAAAAAGGAACCTAAAGTTATCAGAAAGTGGAAAGCGAAAAATGCTTTAACCTTTTGTTTTACACGCAACGTTAACGAACTACAGACGGAGCCAACACCCCAAAAGCCCACTAGTGTAGTAGTGAAACAAAACAAACTGTGAACGAGACAGAAATTTGCTACTTACCCACTGAAATGCAAAGAAGAAAGACGGAGGCCAACAGGATCTTCATTTCGTACGTGTTATTAGAAGTCTTACTGATTCTAGCGAAAAGATCTCTTCGGCTTGACAATCAGCGATGTGATGCAAGATTTTTGAGAACGCTTCGCTGATATAATGTTCTTCTGACGCCTCACTTGCCCAAATCCATTGTCAGGCTATATATACTAACCAATTGAAATTAAGATCTTCTTGACTGTCATTGAAAATTAACTTATGTCAGTCAACAGTTTTTTACACAACTGTCAAATTGTCAATCACTGGTAGGCCGATACTATTTCTTTCCTTCGTTTTGTGGAGTCTAACTTTTGGTCGAGGTGTCGTGGTCTGATGGATATGGTGTATCCTGAGGAGACTACAGTAAACACCCGCATATAAGAACACACGATTTCGGGGGTCAGGCTGATTGAGTTCTTATTTATCGGGTGCTTAATGACAAATCAGCCTCAAAATGTTCTTAAAATGTTTTTAAATTTTTATTTAGTAATAATATCCAAAACATATTGCTAGAGATATATTTAGCATATTTTAGGAAAATAAAATAATTAATTATTCTGTAATTTGATTATATTAACAAATGAAGTTATCTGACAGCAAACATAAACTTACATGTTTTGTAATTATGACACTTTTTCCATTTCATAAGAACAGTGTTACAATTTTCAGGCTGATCTTGTTCTTATAAAAATGGGGCTTTATTGGCCAAATTTCAGCCTGGTGTTCTTAATCCATTTGTTTTTATAGGGTGTTTACTGTATCTTTTTGTCATGTGTCGGGATCGAGGGTCGAGGGTAATAATTATTTTTCATTATTTTTTTTGAAATGTGATAATCGGTGCAATCAATGAAAATACATAATCAATACAGTGGAACCCCGTTACTGTACGGTCAGCGTTGGGTCAAAAAATATTGGCCGTATTAACGACGGTTTTTTTGTACAAGAAAATGTATGGCGGTTTTTGCCAGGCCGCCAAAAAGTGGCCGTAACAACGAGGTGGCCGTAAGACGGGGTTCCACTGTATAATGGGGAAAACAAATAAGAAGAATTTAAAAAACAAATGGCGCGTGGACATCTCCATATTAGTTCTTGTTGTTGGGTGGGAGGGCGGCTCCGAGACATCCCAATTTGCTTACGAAGAATTACATTTATAACACCCGGGAAACCCATACCACGAACAGAACACGTTACTTGATAACAAGTTTCTCAATGGGTGACTGTCTAGAAAAACAGTCTTCTGTTCTGTTGACGTGCCACCATACTTTCTAACACTGATTTTAAATGTTGTAAAAATTAAAAAAAAAAAATGGTTTAAAAAAATGTCGTAAAACCGAGAATGAGTGCTTTGAATTATGAATTTCTGGCCCGACCAACGCGAATGGAAGGAAAAAACGTTTATTGCGACATCAAAGTGTGTCAGAAATGTGTCACAACCGAACGATACAATCGTTGCGAGTTTCGATCTGATCGCTGTTCGTGAATAAAAGCTCCCCTTTTCGAGCAAAATCGGAAATAATCGCTGAAGCCAGAAAGCTTTTGCTGCAGATACCTCTAATTTCTTTTTTAAATGCACATTAGGGATAAAGATGTGTACAAAATTAGTTTCGCCGCATGACTTCCTATTATCCTACTGCCGCCATCAACTGCGCCGATAAGTGTTGGTTTTGCGTTCCTTTTGTGTTTCAGGGCGTTTCAGAATTATGGAGTGATTTATGCAGAAAGTTGATGATTTGAGGAGTTTATTTTTGCGGGGCGACTCGGGTGATAGCATCAACCATCTAAATTATCACTCTACGCACCTACGTACCTAGGTCACGATTTCTGGTTTCGGTGATTATCGATGGCTTTTAAATTAAAATTTCATGGCGCGTTTCTACTTTGAAACCACGACAATTCCACTAGTCGTTGAACAGGTTCTCCGTTTGGGAGAAAGGTTGTAAAAATCGCGGGGAGGCAGGATGGGGAAAAAAGAAAGAGGGGAGCACGACTTGCTTCTTCCTTACTTCCCATCAAGGAATCTACGACCACTTAAGAGAATGTCTAAACTCATAATTTTCATTTCTCTGCTCCGAGAGTCGTTTTTCCTGGGCTTGGGTTTCCTAAGGAACAGGCAAATGTTATAAGCCTGTTTTGGAGTCACCCGAGAACAGTGTGGACCTTCGCTATGAACTATGAACGTGTTTTCTACACTGATCAGGGGCACCCAACGAGAATATAGTTCAAAACCACTTAAACATAGCATTGTTAATCGTCAGTATTTAAACGGTGGATATGGGCATATTTTTATCCCCTATAAATTTTTCATCTGTTCGGATTTCCTAGCTGAAAGTCTAGTGATCCGAAAATTATAGGGATCAAAACTTACCTGTTCGAAAATTTCAGCCAGAAAAAAAGCTCCCGAAAATTCTAGGTGACCTTTTAAAGGTAAAAATCCGTTGAAAATGGGCAATTTTACCATTTTTTAGATGTTCGAAAATCCTAGGAGAGGCAGGCAAGCAAGAAATTTTTCAACAAATGTTCCGAAAATTTTAGATCTCAAATCGTCTTCCGAACAGATATTTTTCCGAAAATTGTCGTTGGGTGCTCCTGACTGATTTGGTTTTTTAAAATCTCCAAGCCATACACGCATGCGCAAGTGGGAGCTCCTGACGCAAGTGACCTAAACTCACGATGCGGGAAAAGGGCGAAAAGTTTCGGTTTCTTGGGATTTGCGGAGGCTTTATGAAGCAATGTGAAGAATTTTGATCGAGGAGGATGTTATCCACCGAGGCTGAAGGTCGAAGTGGAACTAAAACATCCTCCGAGATGTGCATAATTCTTCACATCATACGGAAGCCGAATTCGATAATTGTTTTATTATTCATTCAAAATCGTTTTAGGTTCTTTTTAACAAGCTTACCTCTCCGTTAACTTCCTTCTAAACTTAGGCCTATGTTTGGGCACAGTTTTAGGATAGAAAAACAGGTTTTTCTATCTTGCAGATACCCCTCAAAACGCAGACAACATCCATCGAACAATATGTTTTGCTTATTCTTGATTTCCTTCCGTTCAGTTTTAGTCAGAAATTCAGCTATTTCATCTTCCAATAGCCGTGACGGCCATTTTTTAGTTCACTCTTGATAAACAGTACGACGTTGATCGATGGCCTGTTTCCCCTGCAGCCTCGTTTCCAAACCAATATACCTTCGATCAACTGGATCAACCTCGTCTAGTCCAATCAAATATACCATCGAATTGATGGTATATTGCTCGCATCTTCCAAATTTGGTCAGCGCCGGCTGGTTCGTTTGAAGACTTATGCCGGCTATGTTTATCTGCAGGGGTGTAATTTGCATTGGGCCTTTTATCGCTCGAGTACTGAATGTCTCGAGGAGAAACCTGTTTCAAGTCAGTTAAAATTACAAGAAAGCTCTTTAAAAGCAAACTTTAATGAGGAAAACGTAGACAAAAATACCTGTCTTACAAACTTCAAAGTGTAAAATCTACTACTCGTACTAAACTAGAAAAACTTGAAAACGACGTGTTTCTCTTGTTACCCATCACCTTGCGAAAACAAGACCTCAGATATACATGATACAAATGAACTATAACTTGAAAACCACTTCTCACGCTCATACAGGACACTATTAAAACTCAAGCTGGTTCACTCTCGGGATTTCTTAACGGAAAAAAGCTAAAAAGGCGCATGCCAATAGCAAAGTGGCGCTGACCAGTGGTACTTTGGCTCCATTGCACAGGTCACCTTCGCAGCAGTCGACGTCACAGTCGTTGATTGTTGCTCCTGATTGTCCCACTTGCTTACACAGGTCTTTGTTACAGCCTGCTTTGACACTACAATCCTTGTAATAAGTTTTGAAGGATACGCCTGCCACTTCTCCATCAAGAAATATTTTGCCACAGCTGTCGAAACCGGAAGCACAAGTCGTCTCTATCCTGTTCGTTTCACAGTCACCCCAATCCTTCAATGTCGTGCACTTGTAGCACTTGAGACCATACCCTGTGAAACAGAAGAACATCGCCGAGTCAGTGCTAATCCGGTCGAACAAAAAGCAGTATTAAGTTTACCAATAAACATTTTTTTAATACTGATAAAAAATTGGATACAGGGTACGGTGCTGATCTGCAACGGAAAAAAATCTTCTTTAAAATTATTGACAATGCTAATAAATGTGTATAGTATTTCATTTCTTTGGGACGTCTGTGAAATGATAAAGCCATTTTAGCGCAAAAACTGATGCATTGAGTCAAAGGGAAGAAAAAAAAAATTTGTACGTCAAACATTGCATAATAACGACTCAATGTAACTATTTATGATACTGCATGAAAATTTTCTGCAATTTGATTGGCTTAGAGCAGTGATATTTCAGCTTAATTTGAAACTGACCTACATGTGAAAATTACAACCTTTTGCGGGTAGTAGTAGTATAAACAAATAATAGCATGATTTGTACGTGATATTTGACATAAATACCACTAGTGATATTTCAAAATTGTCTCAAATTTAACTCGCCTAACGGCTCGTGAAATTACGTCTAACAATTTTGAAATATCACTCGTGGTATTTATGCCAAATATCACTACTAATCTTGCTATTACCTATACAAACCTAAGGGAGCGCTTTTAAAATTTTACTTTGCAGTTCAAAGCATTTTCCCTTTTGTTTTGATTCGCAAACCAAAACAAGCAATAGACCTTTTTACGGATACGGCGGTCATATTGAATTAGACCCTGTTTACATGGAGTAGGGGACCCCAGTCTAGTGGGGTAGATTTCTTTTGTTTTGTGTCCCCCAGAGCGTGAAAACAAAAGAAACCAACCCCACTAGACCGGGGCCCCTACTCCATGTAAACAGGCCCTTAGTTAAATTTAAGGAGTATTATGGGATGCCCAGAGGGCATGAGCACATTCCGATGTATTCGCTTAGTATTAACGCCCGCCTTTCGGAGCATTTTTTCTTAAGGTTTTTCTAGAATAAGATTGTAATGGGAAAAAGATCGTTGTGCAGTGATAATCGCCCTTTTCCCGAGAAATATACAGTGAAAGACTATATATAGATTCAAGAAAAAAATACTGAATCCCTATTTCAAATCTTCTTAAAACAGGATTCTTATCTTGATACAGATACGTTGATAAATGAAATGAAAAGAATTTAAACTTTTCTTGTTTCTATTTATGTGCTTGAGGCTTCGTTTGCCTCTACATCTGCATCTGCATCTACAAGTTTTCTGAATTCATTATAAAGTAATTGTAATTAATCTCGCCTGTGACTTTCGTAATTATTGTATTTCTTGTATCTTTATGTCATTAAAATAATATACTTTGAATTCATTAATGTAATTAATCTCTGTGATTTCACTCGTAATTATTGTATATCGTTATTTTATTAGAATAAGATTGTATAATGTAATAGACATATCTCCATTGTGCCTGCCTCGATTAGCTCTGCTATTTTGCAGGTAGTCTGTATTTGTAATTTATTTATTTTTAATGTAAAGGGTCTGTAAACAAATAAAGTTTCTTCTTCTTCTAGATTTCTCAGCGATCGTGCTCATGCCCTCCTATGCATCCCATAACACTTCTTAATTCGAATTCATATTAAATTAATTCGATATGGCCGCCGTATCGGTAAAAAGGTCTATTTTTTCCAACCACGGCGTAAATTTAAAGTCAGGTTACGCGAGGCATCGTTTTTATATTTTTCCCAGTGTGTTCTTTTCTCTTTTTATAGGGTCCAAATAATTTCATCCAGTCAAATCTCGGACGTTTTTACAAGCGCTCCAAGCCTGGAAAATCTATGTACAGTTCCAGTGATAACGAGCTCTAAAAGAGTTTTCTTTTGGGTGGTCAATGAAACTTGTCAGCTTTGTAAAGCGCTTGCACCGATTTTCCGAACGCAGTTTGCATCACAACAAACAGAAGGACTGAGTATTCTTTCGTGCGGAACCGATTCCGTTAAGCTCTCTTGTGCCACACCTCATGACATCAAGCCACAAACTGCACAGAGAAGGAAAAATCAACAATAAAAGTAAACGCAGGCAACATTTACCAAGGCACTGGTGAAAGTACAAATCATAGAAGTTATCCCGTATATGCAACGTTGGAGAACCGACATGTGTTCGAGCAGACTAGGAACAACAGCTTTCTATGCCGGCGCAAGGACATTTTTTTCTTATTAAATATGCATCCTTTTCTGTCTAACACATGGTATTTGCATTTTTCGCATTTGGAAATTTCCTACCAGCTAATTTTTGCACCGTCAAAGTTTTAACATCCATGGATACTTTGATAATGCAGAGATTGCCTAGGACACTTAGCTACCTGCTAGCGACTCTGATAACAGTTTTAAAGTTTTGTAACGTTCTCACGTTTTTTCAGCGTAACCATTTCGTAGACGGACTTATTTCACCTATTCGGATATCTGAATGTTCTTTCAATTCCCCCTTCTAATCTTTTTTTTTTAAAAAAAACAGAATAGGATCTTCTGGGATTAGACTGTTAACATTCCCTCAATTTCCTGTAAGAAGGTCGCGACTGATCGCATTGGGCACTTATTAACAAGACTATCAAGTGTTCAGCCAACTTGCCTCAATGTTCATGTGAAACCAAGATGGAGCGCAGGCCGATATTATTAGCGCTGGAAAGCGAAAATGGTGGATTGCAAACAGCCAATCGCAAAGTTAGAGTGAGAAAATAATCAAAACCTCGTCATTAAAACCTCGTTTTTGTCGAGTATCGATTATCGAGTTGGAAACTAAATGAAAGTATTCGTTGGTGGTGAAAGATCGTTTTAAACCAGGGTAATTTTTTTGCGTAGAAAATGTTTTAAAGAAAGGAATACGCGATGACGCTATTCGGTAACAAGGATGTAGCGTTCCGCTATCTTTCTAATGCTTTGGGACAAACGCACGACTTGACAGCTTTTCTAACCTTAAATCTTAAAATTTGCTTTTGCGTCGTTTCAACTTATCAGTTATCGGTAGTAGTGTGAATCGATGCATGCGGCACTCGCTTGATTAGTATGTTTTTGCTGGCACTGGTGGGAGCGGCGCTTGCATTGCGCTGGGAGAAAGAGAAACAAGTTCAAGAAAAAAAAAATAACATATAGAAAATCGGCCTGGAGTAAACGTAAAGTTAAGTGAAGTTCCACTTTTTCTACCTGCAACATCTTGACGGAACTGCGCACGGCAAACTTCCACCCAAAAAGCCTCCTTGTTGGACAAAAACAAACAGGATGTTCTTGGCATAGTAAGTTACAGTATTAACATAACTTACCGACTGAAATAGAAACAAAGAAGACCAGGGCAAACAGGATCTTCATATTGAAAGCAGCCGCGATGCAACTTTTTCTTTGCTATGGACAGCAGATCTTTGCACTGGGCGGTTAGCGTTGTGATAAGAGTTGTGAAAATGTTCTTCTTACAGGTAGCCTGAAAATTAACTTGCCCTTGTCAATCTACTGATCACTAGCCAATTGAAACGTAGGTTTTTCAATGGATTTCATTTAGACAAACTTTCTTTCAGCTGTCAACATGTCAAAGAGCTAATGATTTAGCTTTGTTGCTAACCGCATTTGAAAGTGGATGAAAGGAGTGACGTGGGTGTTACGCGTAGCTTATCACGGACCTTTTCAACATACATTAAAAATATTGGTACCATCTTTGCCCTGGTCCGATTATATAGCTTAGTAGACTTTCTAAAAGTCCTTTTTTCTTGTTCCTGGTTCGTTGCACTACCTCTTTGAAGCTCGCTTCGCTCTCTAAGAACTTATGAGAGGCTAGAACTTGTGTAGAGGCTGACTTGCCAGAAAGTCCAATCGCTTAAAAACGCTCTCCGGAGTCCACTATATATATTCAGCTTCCCTGGGAACTAGCTATGTAATGGATAAATGTGAATGTGTGATCTGAAGGGTGAAATGTGAATGCGAGTCTCACTTGCAGACTCTATGGGAAAAACACGCGAAACATGAGTTTTGGACGGTCATGCTGTCCTTCTCCTGGGCAATTAACGAAAAAAATGGAAAGTCGTTACATCACTAAGATGAACCAAACAGCAACTGACGAGATTTCGTGAGACATCTTTTGTTGAAGCGGAGACATAAGGGACAAATATAATAAAAGCTTTTTGCAAAAAACCGCGGAACCTTATTAAGAGTAGAAATTAGCATCTTAAATGAAATAATCCGTTGTCTTATTTCGTTTTTTTTGTTTCCTCTGCCTCGTTTGCTCACTGCTCAAATTTTATCCTGCCGTTTTTCAGTTTATTCTTTATAGTTTTACATTGGCACCTGTAAAAGTTGGGAAAAAAAGTAAAAAAAAAAAAGAATTGAAAAACGAAAACCTTTGTTATTCAAAATACCAGATCTTTTATTTAACGCAAACAGCAAACTGTAGAATGCCTGGCCACTTATTTGCATATTTTTGCTTAAGTGAGCCGAAGAGGCACCTTTGGTGCTTTTATTCTCTTAGGTTTATCACAAGAGTCCCAAAACCTGTAAATTAATGGGGTAGTCCAGAGAGGAAAATACTGCTGCAGCGAATAGACTAATATAAATAATGGAGTCTTCAGTCGTGCTGTCTGGCATCCAACTGGCTGAAGAGCAGATTTATTTACCGCCACTTGTTTGCATATTTAAAAAAAACAAATAAGTGCCTGCTCTGTTGTATTAGTCGTGGTCTGGTTCTTAAAGGCTGGTATAAACAAAGAGAGGATTAATATTTAGCGCGGTCAATATCAATAGTACATCGTTGAGGTTCCATTGTGAGTGCTCGATTTTGTCCATGAGAGTAAGGGAGGTAACCGAACTAAAGTCTCGTGTTTTGCAACAGGGGTCCTCGCCGAGTAAGTCACGGCCGTTGAAATACCCCTAGGCTAACGTTTGTCTTTATTTGGAGGAAACTACTACTCTAAAATTCAAAAGGACGCATTATCTAGACTGCTTCCACTCGGTTTCTAAGTTAAAAAAATCTTATGGCGCATTATAAATTGTTATGGGAAAAATTCTCTATCACCAGGCCCAAATTAAATTTCCATCTTTTACACTTTAAGCAGGATTATTAAAAACAAAGAACAGATGAGCCCAAACCATCGATCGTTGCTATGCATAACCCAGCAATTAGACAGTTGATAATCCTGATAATCCGCAGCTGGTATAATTAGCTATTGACTTTACATCCCAGACCGTTAAAGCACCCTAACGTCAGATCCTTCCATCACGTCTACGGCAAAAGGCAAATATAGAACTTTTTATATCTCAGCGATTGTTGTCTCTGCGATCGATCGCTGGAGAGTGATTTCATATGATCGCTGCGATCGCTGAAGTTTTTTTTCGCTCAGCGATCGCAGCGATCTCAGCGATGGTAGCGATCATATAGAAACCGGGCTTTAAATTGATCATGGCATATTTTAAACGTAGGATTGCTTACCGCGAAACCTCTATATAAACTGTGTATCATTATGAAAAAGCCTTGAAGGCTAGTAGACTGTTCACAGTCCCCTCTTTTTTCGTGAGATCGTTTAGAGCGGGCGTCAGGGGTTATAGCTCTGGTGGTGGGGGGTTGAGGGGGGGGGGGGTTTGCGAGGGGCGGGAATAATAGAGACGTTCTTACAGTCCCTCTATTTTTCTTGCTTCCTCCCAAGCCGCCCCCGCCCCCTAAGTAGTTTTGACACTCATGCAAGATGGCAGCCCGTAACACAAAGCGTTCGATCTCGATGATCTTACGGAAAAATAGAGGACTGTGAACAGTCTAGAAGGCTAGTTATATCGTATGGTCCGTCTCAATAAGTGCAGCAATTTGGTCGAGTGTGTTAATTTCAGTGTCTGTGGGCTGTTTATATAAAGTTTTTCCGAATGAATAACATAGACCTAAAATGTTCGTTTGTCCGGTGCCGAAAATATCACAAGTCATGATGAAACGGTGCCGCCGAGCTTCACATCTCGGTAGATTCACTTTGTGGCACAACGGCCGCCGAGCTACACAACTCTGTAGACGCCAAATATTGATATTGTAAGCCTTGTTTACAGGACTGAACACCCTGAAAACCATAACCTGATTAGCGGTACATGGCCGCCTAGGGTAAATAAGAGAGTGCCCCACTCCCCTGGGGATAAGGGTCGAATTTTTCAACAAGACACTCGACATCTCAGTGCCTGCTGGTCTTTAGCTGTTTCCCTCCCCTGATAGTGGACCGGAACTTAATTACGGTACTTATTTGCTAACCTGGGTGTACAGCCTCCTGAGTGCACTCGATTAACCGTTGAAGTACTAAAAGGTCAATATTTGTCTCTGTCAATAGGAGCTCATCATATTTTTTTAAACTGCTCAATTAATATTTCAATGGAAACTCATTATCCAGGATAATAGACTGCTTCCATTCGGGTCTTTTATATTGGTAAATAATTTGCTCTTTCGATCGCTTTAGATGCTCAACTCCCCTACCCTATTATATACCATTTCAATTTGAAAGAAAAGGTATACCCCTTTCATGTACCGAGTTTAGCACTACACATCCCTTTTAACTGCCATAACGCACTGTCTTCAAAATATGAATAAATCACAAAACTGGAACGTTTTCTCGACTACTCCATGGCCATAAAATGCCATCTGTTAGCACGGGCCATTTTAAATTCCCTACCCATTCATACAACTGAGGCAACGTCAGACACAAATCGGCAAGGCATAAATTTCAAACTTTCGATCAGAATTTGTTTTAAGACACGGGCGACAATCAAGTAAAATAATTACAGGGTAGAGCCTTAAGCTTAAAAACAAAAGACGTTACTTTGGATGGGTCTAAATATTGCTCAGTGTTACCTAGCAACAAGACCGTTGATAATCCCTTGTAGAATAGATACCCTAACAGGAGCTAATGATCTCACGCAAGAGACACGGCATGAGGAAAAAGATTAGCCTGCGTATATAGCAAGCGTTGCCAATCGAGTTATTGCGCGAAAGCTAGAGCGGAAGCGAAAAAAAAGGTGCTCTCTTCCCAACTTTATCGACGAACTCGCGCGGAAACACTTGCCACGCAGGCTAGAAAAAGATCGAGGGAATGCAGTAACTGACATTTTTGAGATAAATTATTTTGAAACAATGTTTTATTTACGGTAAGTTTACACTGCTCAAAGGTTATAAAATGTGACACTGACTCGTTTGTCTGAACTTCATCTAAAGGGTTTACAAATTTATCGTGAGAAAGTTAAAAGAGTGCATGCCAAGAGCGAGATGCCGCTGACGGTTAATACTTTGGCTCCATTACACAGATTTCCCTGGCAGCAGTCGACTTTGCAGTTGACATTACCTTTTGGCCCAGAAAGCTTGCAAAGCTCTGATTTGTCATCTTTGTCGCACTGGATTTTAGTTGCACATCCCTTGGCGAACACCGCGGCAGACATTTGCCCGCTTGTTCCTTCAACTTTGTATTTGCCACAGCGGTCGGCAAAGGAAGGACATTCTTTCTCTGTTTTTATCTCAGCACAGTCATCCCAACCCTTCGTGGAGACACACTCGTAGCATTTGAGGCCATATACTAGAAAATATGTAAGCTTCATTAGGACGTCATTCAGTTTCCTCACAAGAGCAAAATAATTGCTTCTTTTGTTTCCCCCGAAGGTTAGAGTTATCAGCATTCAACTAGATGATTGAGTGGACGCATTTGTATCAGCGCATGAGTTGACTAAGTTTTTCTTAAGCCAGAGTAGCTGGCAGTTTTGTTTTGGCGAACGCACAAGTGGCTGCGTCGCTCGTTTATGCGCTCGGCAGCAAAATCGCCAGGTACCTGCGCGCGCGGTCTATAAAACTTGGAAAATTTGGGGAAACGTTTTCAGTGCTGTTTGGAAACACGTTCCCTACTGATGATAGCTCGCATCTTTTAACGTTGGCAATGGTTACCTCTGCCTCTTAAGCAACAACGTTTTTGAGCAACGCACGTCAACCAGAAGTGGGCTTTTTGCATCCTTGGTCAGTGGTTTTGCTCAATAGAGAGTTTTAGATACAAGTTTACCGCGAACTTCTAACCGCTGGAGGTCACGTGACAAGTCTTTCGCGTCACGTTTCAGGTTTACGACGTGCGTTTTCAACGTGGGGAGGCAGGTTTTCACGTATGTCATTTACCTGAAAGCTTTTAGCGTATAATTCTTGTTTTATCCCACGTAATGATATAAAAATCTTGTGGAGCAGGTCTTTATCCATTAATAGAGGCATAAATGCGGCCGAAATGCTGAATTTGATGAATCCCATTTGATCTTGAAAACAACTGCCATTCATAATCCACCGCCAATCTTAATCGAATTATGTTTGAACGTCGAACCGCAAACGGGTAACCGCAAACTGCGGTTAGAGGTTCGCGGTAAACTCGACTCTAAAACTCTCTAATATTTCGGCAAATCTTCTTTACAAGAGAAAGAACACTTAGCAATACAATTTAGGTAGCTAGCGTTTAGGCATGTTAAATGGGAAAAGGCTTCACTTCCGGTGGACGCGCGTGGCTCAAAAACGTCTTTGCTTAAAGTTCCCTGATATCCTGGGCCTCCTACCCTCCAACCCCTCCGCCCCCCTTACTTGGTAAAGAGTGAGTTCACGCAACAGGACGCCAGGAAGATCAGAAGAGGACGGCAAATCCCTTGTGCGTGACGAACGTGACAAGGCCACTACTTTCGTGTTTTGTCGTGAACGTCACTAACATCAATGTTTTCTGGACTTTTACAAAAAGATCTGTTTAAAAGAAAGTGAAATTCTGCATATCCATTAAATACCTTGATGTTTGGCGAAAAGTTATTTAAAACAAAATTATTGTCACGCTTGTCACACGAGGTTTGCAGTCTTTTTTCCTCTCCCGTCCTGTTGCGTTAGTTCACTGAAGTAAGTAAATTACACTGCCAATTCTGGACTAGGCAAAGCAATATCCCGCTGCCAATGACTGAACCTTTTACCGAAATGGTTAATAAACAACTTTAACACATTTAAGTCCAAGATTTATACGGCTTTCCTGCTTAAAGCGGACAAAAGTGACCATACGTGTTCTGCATATCCATTTGAATACCTTGTAATTTTTATTGATCCTACGTTTTTATTCAAGATGTATAATTTCATAACTTCAATTTTTTGGATGTGATATATAATTATACGTATATATGCACATGAGTTTCTTCCATTGATACTTTGAATAGCTGATTCATTACTGCAAGGCATATATAGTTTTCATTTATTCATTTATTAGTCATCTATAATTGGGCTGTCGGTGTTTTAGCAAGATGTGTGGCGAGACAGTATTTGGCGGGATTTTATCATTTTCACGACTTCCATAGGCAGTCATAAAAAAGGCGTTGAATTTCGTAGCCTGAGTATCAGGCCTTCCCAAGGTGCTAGGGGAGAGATGATTTTAGATGGGGGAGGGGGGAGGAGGAGGAGCTTCCTTTTTCGCTTCCATCTTTCCCCTTTTCCCCAGAAACGCCTGATACTCAGGCTATGAATTTCGCGATTCAATCCTTCTCAACTTCATTTTATTTTTCCAAAGTCTAATTAACTATGTAAACTGGAACAAGCAATGTGTGAAATCTTTGCAAATTGACTTTATTTCTAGATAGAAGATATTTGTAAAACTAGTTAATCATTTGTGTATTTGTTGATACATTCCCTGTGTATATCACTGACCGATCACTCTCTGTTCGTGTGATCATTGTTGCTAATGAAATCTGAGATATACAGATGAGCATTACCTCGGCTACAATGTACTCCAAAATGCAGATTTGAACCGAAATGTCAGGTGAAATGTCTTAAGACAGCTCGAGAAAGCGAAAAAACATAACAGATGACCAAGCTAACATTTCGCTTGAAACAAGTCTGGATCGGTTCGCAAATCATTGTGCGTCGATTTGTTATTACATGAGCCCCACCCCCTGTACTTTGTTACGGATATTTTAGTACAGAAAACGTTTTATAACGAGGGAAAGCCTCCAAAATACCAGGGAACCAAGATAACTCTTTTGATATGTCTTAATAGTTGTAGAGTTTGAAAGACAATACTTTCAGACGGTGTCTTAGAACTAGTTTCCGACGAACGAGTAGGATTACTTTGACTTACCTGTCGAAATGCAAAGAACGAAAGAAAGGGCAAGGAGTGATTTCATCTTGCTCATCAGTTCTTGCGGCGAAACGCTCTCTCTTTAGCAATCTTCAACCGTTTTTCTCAGTATTCTGTCTTGCCGGTTGTGTCTGGTCGATCTGGCCACGGCCTACCTTCAGTAACTTATGTAACTGAATTTAACACTAGCTCAAATAACAAGAGTAAGAGGACTCTTTTTGCCCCCGCAGGGATTTCGCCCAGAAGGCGAAATCCCGAGGAGGCATTCCTGTAACTGTAACCACAGGCGGCCCAAACTCACGTTGCGAGGGAAGGGTGTAATGTAATTTACATAACATATGTGACGCGCCGGTGTCGCGTTACAGGCGACCGTTGAAAATATGTGAGACTTTGTATGGGAAATATATTATTGAGATCTGCGAACGTCAAATAACGTTAAACCTTACTTTTTCTTAAATGAAATGAATAAAAAAGTCTTACCTGCAATCTATTCCGCTGCGGTTTGGTGTCTGTTTATCGTTTTACTGTTTTTTGGCTTTATTACGTAACCACTGTTACTCCTTTCAGACGTTCGCAGATCTCAGTAATATATTTCCCATACAAAGTCTCACATATTTTCAACGGTCGCCTGTAACGCGACACCGGCGCGTCACATATGTTATGTAAATTACATTACACCCTTCCCTCGCAACGTGAGTTTGGGCCGCCTGTGCTGTAACTCGGGCGTATATTATGGAAAGTACTTACAGTTGAAATATACAGTCAGTATGCCAGAAAAAAATCTCGATTTGCTTGAACAGGGGCCGCGAGGAATCTTTAGGTAATGATGAAGTTTCTACTGTTTGCGCCCGCAAGTACGAAATGGTTAGGATGACGTAAAGACAGAAAATCCCGAAGGGACCCCTTAGGTAGATTTCGTGACATTTATTGTGCCGGCATACTTGGATACTCTTTAGCGTTACGTGTGACATTCTGTGGAGCAGTTGTTTTGATAGTTATGGACCAACAGACACTCGTTAAGTGCGGATGAAGTTATAAGATGCGTATAACTGCATGTGTATATATAAACACTTGGAGAGTTTGCCAGACACGAGTTCACAAATCTTTGATTGGAATCCTTGCCAGACACTCTTTCTCTCTCTTTTTGACCGGAATAAGACTCAGCCCCAAACAAGCAAGAAGAGTGAACAAAGGCCACCTTATCACTAGCAAAACGATGGACGATTACAGAAATTCGCCGACAATCAAATTCTGTGCTGACTTATTCCGTGCTCACAGATGTCCTTCCGCTGTAAAGTTTAAAGTAAGACTGGGATGCGCGAGCGTGAATTGATCAAATGTCCTTTTAATTTCTAAGGCTTACTTTCCGGAAAATAAAATGAACTGAATGTAAAAAGTGAAAGAGAAATAGCGAAAAATTCAACTTCTAGTTAAAACTTTTCTTATTGTTCAGAATAAACTATTCTCGAAACTGAGAATGTTTTGATCAAAGCTGTGTAAATCGAACTGAAACTAGTGCATGGAACCTTGCGTTTCCTGTATTTCGGCTCACCTATTCAGGGAATGTGTGTGAAAATGGTATATTTCAAAGAGCTGCACAACGACCAAGAATGCTATTGACCGACAATATACCGTGAGCGGGGGCAGCTGTACTGTCAACTATTACTAGTATTAATCATTAGCAATGAGGTGGCGAAAAATAAGTACTGAGAAGAGGCACTGTTCGGACATGCAGGAGTTAGTTGGCCTCAAAAATAACCACGATAATTCCTTAAAATGCGTCCACGAATTATCTTATAATATAGCTTGCCGGAAAAGCTTCCTCGACGCTTTAGGCCTCGTTGTCTCGACTCTACTCTATGCTGGTTGGTTATGTATGTATCACTGATGGAGGCTCGTTACGATCAACCTCCCCTCCAAAAAAATGAAATAAAATAAAATAAATATTAAATAAATAAATAAAAGTATTTTAAGTGATCAGAAAGTGATCAGTATGGATTGTTTTAAATGCTTGGCTTGGTTGTTGTCCACGCCGACGTGGACGTGGACAAGTCCTTCGGACTGCGCTGCGGAGTTTTTAGGTGGAGTAGAGGGCGTGCAAACTGGCCCAACCCTTTACACCCGAAGTTCATCTGTCATGACTTAGCAAGCTGGGACGATGGCAGCGAAATCGAAGGGTCGTAGGTTTTACATCAGTTTCTCTCTCCCAGGCAGGTAGCCGATCAAGACTGACGAGCCTGCCCTGCCCAAAGCAGCCGGGTTATACTGCGCCAGGCACCCGCAGTCGTCCTCTTCTTTTGGTTCAAATCCAGGAGGCACTACGTGGAAGTTGGAGTAGGACTTGAGGTCTGCGTCACTCTAGTGGATGTTTTAGGTCCAGTGTGGATTTTCACCCATACCAGCATCCAGTGACTATGTTGACCCCCATTTACCCCCCATGACGAGTGCTTTAAACTAGTTCTATTTAACTTCACGGTCTTACTCAGTGTGTAATATTTGCACAGTGTATTAACACTCTCCGATGAAAAAAATGGAAAATTTGCTTGCTACTAAGCGGATTTTTATGCCATCTTTACGAATTGTGACTTCGGATATTTCTGCTATAATTTTGTGCAACGCTTTAAGAAAGTTGGTGTGATAGAACCCTGCCGTTGTGGTATAAACAATTTGTCTGTCATTTCACCCACCTCCTCCTCTGTTTCCCAACCTCTTTCAATAAACCCTTACGTCAATAACTGGTCCCGAGCTAGGTATCCTGAGTATCAGGCTTTCCTAAGAAACACCTGATACTCAGGCTAGAGCTAGGAAACAGTTTATGTACGTTGTTTCCCTCGAATCTTAAAAGTGACGTTGCACGGGACGATTTGCAAGAACGACTTTTACTGCAACACAGCATCACAACAGTTGTTGCAACATTATTTGGAATTGTTGCAACATTGTTCCAACATTGCTATGATGTATTGCGCTCAAAATCGACGTTGCGAATCGTATCGTGTAACATCACCTTTAATGTTTCTCGACGCGGAGATTCTCGGGAAACAAAATTAACTGTTTCCCAAGAAAACATAGATTTTGCAATGTTGCCTGCTCAGAGATTTTGGCGGGAAACAGTTTCATTGTTAGATGTCATGTGACCCCGAAGTAACCAACGTGAGCGCGCTCTGTTGGGAAAAAAACTTCCAGCTATATAAAAGTGGGTGTTGTTGACAAGTTCCTAATTTGTTTTGGCGTAATTTTTTGCCCTTACCTTCACTGGGCTAATCTGTTTTTCAGTCTCTGAAGTTTTGAGACTTGAATGAAGGCAGCTTTGGGCCTTTGCCTTTAGCCATTTTTTCTTGATCTTTTTTAATATAAGGCCCAGTTAACGAGCTCAGGCAATGCATCTCAGTCATGTCAGTATATGAATAGTTTATATGTTCAGGTGGACTTTTTTCTATATTTCCCTAAAAGGCTTTTATTACCGAAAAAACAAAAAACTTTTTGCACCCGATTCACTGCAAAATACTGGGAAATTATAGAAAACGTTCATTTTGAAGAACAGCACAGTTAACAATCATAAACTGTCGTTCAGTAAGCCCTGGGCTTATACAACTTCGTAAGGGGTTTTAGGAGGTCCTATATTTAAAGGGGGCGGGGGGGGGGGGGCACACAAAAAAATACAAATCATGGCCTACAAATATTAAAAACTAGGAAAGAGAAATAAAAGAAGGAACGATTATTTATTCGATTAGGCGCCCCAGTCACTTACTAAATTTCTGGACCTTATGCATGGGCGAATGTTTGAGGCGGTTGCTTACCACCCGACAAGATGGCTTTTAACTTCAAATTTAAATTTCTGGACCTTATGCATGGGCGAATGTTTGAGGCGGTTGCTTACCACCCGACAAGATGGCTTTCAACCGGGCCGTCATGATAAGAGGGTCTTAATGGGGTGGTGTCCTTTACGGTTATCGGCTAACATGACGAGATTCCTGCGACTTTGAAATTCAGCACAGGGAGGAAGTTTCAATTTCCGGTGTCCTTGTAAAATCCTAATTAGGATTCAATTAATAGCCACTAATCTGTCATGACTTGTGTACTTTGCGTCACTGGTGGAAGACAGATATTATTTGTATCACAATGCGATCTCGCGCGAATTTCAAAGCCGGCATGAAAGTGGCGCGTTCGTCGGGATAAACATCTTCAGTTTTTGGACCCTCGCTTGCCAAACAAAGGTAATCTCGTACGCAGTATCAGTGACCAAATGGTTTTACCGACAGATATAATTCATGGCAAGTCAACATTTTATGCTTTTTATGTAGAAATGATGTTTGGAAGTAGCAGGGCCGATTATTATAGTTATTTATGATTTGGTCGATAGTACAGATAGTACTGGCGCTCGAGTCAACCCATCCAGGTTTGGTTTTTCAAAGAGGAAAGATCATGTTGTCGTTTCAACCTTAGCACGAGCCTTAGACTTGCGCCGATGAAATGCAGACGAAAGCGGGTTTAAAGCGATCAAACACGGACTAAATTCCTTCCAGCTACTTGAAAATATAGCAGGAAGCGGTCAGAGAAAGCGTTTCGTCGTGCGGAGAAGATCTGGAAAAGGTACTTGGTCGTGGATTACTGAATTGGGGAAATTAAAATGAGGGATTCATTCGAGAAGCAATATCGTATGATTTCCTGACGGTGGCAGATGACCGTCAAGTCAGAAACTCGGGCATTCACGCCCGTCGTTGTTGATTATGTAAGCTTTAATGATTTTTATTAAGGGTCGCTGACTGGATTTAGCCCGAACGGTGATGCTCTTCAGCCCTTTTCAATTTTCCAAACATGGGCCGAAACTTGGTAAGTCTATTTTGGGTTCCTTTGTATCATCTTCAAATGGATACCTACTATCATTTTAGCGCAAAAACGTTTTAAGGTCGACACGGATCACTCGATCATTTCATAAATGCTCAATAATTACTAATGATGTGAAAGTGTAATGTTCATGGAGAATTTTGATGGAGATCACTATTTCTTAAGCCTGATCGCAAACGGTTCAGTTCAGTCTGAGTTCAGTTTTCAAGTGTGGATCGTAGTGGATATTTTCAATTTTATCGAATCCCTTTTAAGAAAACAGGAAAATTTATTTTGCCAAAGCCAGTGGCTAACAACGGTCAGTAAAAGTGAGTGAAATTTCATAAACCAAAAATTGATTTACAGATTAAAGCTTTATTTAATTTTGCACTGATTAGATCTGTGAAGATGATAGTGCATGTCCCGCATTAAGTAAAACAGTTTGGCCTTGCTGATGCAACAGAGCAGCTTAGCCTTTTTAGGCTGTGGCTCTGTGAGAATTTTATTCTCCGGGTGTCTCAGAGGGAACTAAAAACGCACTTTTAGATATTGTTTGAATCTCTGTCCAGCATTAAGAAAAAAAGTTTGGCCTTCCAGATTCAACAGAGCAGCTTATCCTTTTTAGGCTGTGGCTCTGTGAGAATTTTATTCTCCTGGTGTCTCAGAGGGAACTAAAAACGCGCTTTTCAGATATTTTTTTAATCCCCGTCTAGCATTAACTAAAACAGTTTGGCCTTCCTGATTCAACAGAGCAGCTTAGCCTTTTTAGGCTGTGGCTCTGTGAGAATTTTATTCTCCAGGTGTCTCAGAGGGAACTAAAAACGCACTTTTAGATATTGTTTGAATCTCTGTCCAGCATTAAGAAAAAAAGGTTGGCCTTCCTGATTCAACAGAGCAGCTTAGCCTTTTTAGGCTGTGGCTCTGTGAGAATTTTATTCTCCGGGTGTCTCAGAGGGAACTAAAAACTCGCTTTTAGATATTGTTTGAATCTCTGTCCAGCATTAAGAAAAAAAGTTTGGCCTTCCTGATTCAACACAGCAGCTTAGCCTTTTTTGGCTGTGGCCCTGTGAGAATTTTATTCGCCAGGTATCTGAGAGGGAAGCTTTATTTTTTAAACTTTATTGAAATATTGCAAAATTAGTGTTTCGCTTACGTTTGTATTTAACCCCATCCAGATCCAGTGAGGCCTTTAAAACAGCGCGTCAATTTTAAAAGTTTTTTCATAACAGGGAAGTTTCCGTTTAGCGCTTAGTATTAGTTCTGGCCTTGAATGAAGATTCCATTAAAAAGCCTTGCGCTCAGACATAAAATTAGGGAGATCTTGAGAGCATTAATTAAAATATATGAAATGCGGATGAAGGTATGAAAGTGAACATGATCATCGCAATAAATTCGCAGCTTATTCGGTTGAAAAATAATCTGAAAAATTTTACAGCGTTATCGCAGAAAGTTAGACGTTATATCATTCATTGTTGGGGAAAATACTCCGCGGCTTTAAATTAATAATTTCCACGATGTTTTAATTCCGGTAGTGTAGTAACCTTTTCGTTAAGGTAGCTTCTAAAACGCACTCGAGAAAACCGCACAGTCTCTGTGAACTCCTTTAACTTGCGAGAGAGGCAAAAAGAAAATAGAGTGACATTAGCTGTGGTCACACTACAGACTTATACCTAGGTAAAACCGATTTACCTAGGGCAAATTCATCAAAAATCTGCCTAGGTAAATTCATCTCGGGTTTTGTTTTACCTAGGTAAAAATTCTGGGAAGGTCACACTACCAGTGCACTACTAATATCGGCTCCCAAAGTTTTCACGCCAGTTGAATTTTTTGGAGCGTAAATTCAAGAAGGCAAAATGCGCAGGGATCTAGTTGATCAAAGAGACGTTTTTTTCTTTTATCTCGCTGTTATTTCTTACGCTATTACGCTAATTCAACGTGCAAGGTGAAGAAAGGCGAAGACGTAGACGATTCGTGCTCCCAAAGGTTCTTTCACAGCGTGATCTATGTCCGGTTCTGTCATCAAGACCTTCGCCGATCAGCGTCTATTGGCTAGCAAACTCGGTATTTCAGTTTTCCCTAGCTATTGCTTTGGGGTAGCTGTCAAGGGAAACTCTATTGTTTTCGAGACATATCCAAGACCCAGACGATAAAATTTCTCCGAGGTAAGTTACCTAGGGAAAAATCGGTCACACTTAAAAAATCAAGTTTCCCTGGGTAAACTGTCAACAAGTCGTGTTTACCTAGGTAAAAAGTCTGCAGTGTGACCACAGCAATAACTTTCAAACCATTACGGGTTACCTTAGGCCGCGGTTTCAGAAATCATTGGACCTCCAGGCCTCTTTCTTGGTGGGTTAGTTTAAGAAAATAAGTGCTTTAGTTTTCCAGTCTGCCTTATATGCTTTATTGTAATTATTCACGATAAATGGGGTTTAATAAAAGCGTTGACTTAAAAACTGAAAATTGCCTGCGTGCAGACGTCTCCAATTTCCTTTGTTTTTTCCTTTGTTTTCCGCGTGCAACAAAGGAAATAGGAGACGTCTGCACGCAGGCAAACTGAAAAGGGCTTAATTATAATGCGATTTTGTAATATGCCGGCTAAATAACTGGCCCTTAGTGTTTAATAAATACAAGTAAACAAAATATACAATGGAAAATTCCCCAGCAAGAAGTGCTTAAAATCACTCTTCTCGAAGTACAATAAATTTTAAGAGAAGCCACTACAGCGGCAAATGCATTCCGGTTCAGCAGAAAGACTTCCAATGCGGCTAATTTGTAGTTGAGTTCTTTGTTGAACCGAAATCTTGTTGACGTACAGGAATTCAGTTGATATGAGAATTTGTCACCTCAAAGCAAATGAGCCGTAAAAAGTGGATTACTTCTACAGAGCTCCCCTGCTGATGTTCGCCTATTGAATAGGCGAACATCAGCAGGGGTCTACGATTTCAGATCTCTATGAATCTCGTCATGTTTTGGCTCTTTTACGGCTATCGCTTAATTTTTTTCAGTTACGGTTAACGAAAAAGTTAAAAATTAACTTCTTTTGTTTCAAAAAATTAAATGTTAATTAACCTGCATTTTTTTGAATCAAGGTCTTCGGATCATCTCGGGATGAAATAAGCTATTCTTTTGAAAAATTTTAACATTTGATAGATCATACTTTTTATAAAGTATTCCACTTCTAATATTACTTTACACTTAGAAATGTCAACAGTCAATTTAAAAATAATCTTTGTGAAAAAGCAAAAGCAGACACGCGAACGCCCAACTCAAGGCCGGGGCGCGACATTCATTATAACAGCAATGGCCGTTTTCACTCTAGAGGAGGATTATTCGTGTGAGATGGGTTATCCGTTTGATGATTCGCGTCAGATAGGTAATACGTCTTAATTTGAAAATTTTGAATGAACAATCCGCCTGACTTTTGAAGACGGGATTATCCGTTCCAGATAGCCTGTGTACAGCCGCCCCCTCCACTCAGAAAATTTCGGAGAAGGGGTGTCTGTGGGGAGGACGCGACTGTACACAGGCTAGTCTCAGACCGATGATCCATTTCTAGCGCTAGTGTGAAAACGGCCAATGACAAAATTCCCGTGTCCAGTGTTTTTAATGATAGTGAAGGACTGTACGGAACGACTGTCTGCCGTTGCCTTGTCCGTAGGCCGCATTATTCCGTGCAGCTAATGCTTTTCGGGTCACGTGGTCCGAGCGAGTTCGCCACCGAAATGCCTTGACCGAGATTGCGTGGGAAGACGCCGTACAGGGACTAGCCATGGCAATGTCTACCGTAGCGTCAGAGAAAAACAGGGAAATGCTGTTTATCGGCTACGTGTTTTACAAACAGTGACATCTCTGCGTGTTGTTTCATTAGTGTTTCGAGGGCACGACCTCCGGAAAATTGCAAATATTAATCCCAAGCAAGAAGCCACACTTTCGCTATCGACAAAATTAGTTCCCCGAGAGAGCGCCGGAAATGGAGCCTAGGTCTTGGCTAAGGCGCTTCGCGTAACGTGTGTACAGAATCACACTAGCCGGGAAAGAAAAAACGGAACCATAAGTGAGTTTAGTATCTTCCTTAAAAGTGGCAAATCTCGGAAACACTTTCTTTTACGGTTAACTCTTTTTTACCCTATTTACGGCTAACGGTTAAAATTTTTCAATTTTTACGGCTATCGGCTAAATTTTTGGCCGTTTTACGCCTATCGGTTAACCCCATGAGACCCTCTGATAAGGTCTATAACTGGGGGACTTATAATTGGGAAAAGGCTTGAGGAAGACTTGACTAACGTTTACGGGTATGGAATCTGAAGTAGCCTTGTCTTCTAGACGGTTTCTGTTCATCGAATTTTCATGGTTAACCACGTATCTTTCACGATCAGTAGAGTACGATGCAAGGTGGTGCTGATTTTAATCTCGTACCAATCTCACTCTGGCCGTGGGAGATCTGGGTACGAGGTTATGCTAATTTTGATACCCTATTTGCAGTTTACTTGGTAGAAGTCCATTTTGAAAATAGCTCTCTTTGCCTGTTCGTTTATTGGTAAACTGCGCTTGACTCTACTGGGGGCTCGCGAAAATTTGCATTTCATCGAGTTTCATAAGAACAATCTTAACTAGTATAAAATAAGGGTTAATACAAAGGAATTCATGACTGTAGCACTCTTAGATTACGATCCGTAGGAAGCTTCAAGTTCATCTCTTTGGTATTTGTACGGCACATACATCAGTAACAGATAATCTTTTTTAGTATTTATACTTTTGTACAAAGACTGTCAACTTTGACTAGGAACGCCATCACGCTGCAAAATTCGGAACTTTCATTCGTCTCTGCAGTCGTCTTCTCTTCACTAACAGATCAAATTTTTTACTTTACATACCGTTTATGCGGTGTCACGCGGCCTTGTCTTATCTTCCTTTTTTTTTTTTTTCCGTAAGTTTAGTGATGAACCAAATATGGCTCCCCTGGTGAGGAGAGCATAATATTTCAAATCTGTTAGCCCTCCTGTTTTAGGTTTGGTTTTGATTGCTTCACAAAGGTGACGGCGAGGAACACAGTTGTATGCGGTGTAGCCTAGTCTTATATTCCTTCTATTTCTTCTATTCAAAGTTTGATTATGAACTACGGAAATGGCTTCCCTGGTGAGGAGAGCATAATGTTTCAAATCTGTTAGCCCTCCTGTTTTAGGTGTGTTTTGATTGCCTCAGGCAAAGTTGAGGGCGAGGCACAATAGTGCTGTTATGCGGTATGAACTAACTGGCTTCCCTGGTGAGGAGAGCATAATGTTTCAAATCTGTTTATCCGGTTTCAGCTGTGGTTTTGAAAAATTTTGTTAGCACGAGCTGAAAGAGCATATTAAAATTAGGTAACCTGTAAGTTTTCGCCATGTATCTCAAAAGTAGCGATTGCAACGCTGACGGCCGCCGAAAATTAGAAGGATTTGTATGAGAATAGCTTGCGAAGCAGGCGCTTGGAAGTAGTGGACGAAAGAGAGAACGGGCGCGCGCGAGGGAGACACGCGAGGGGCCCGTTCTCTTTTTCGCCCACTACTTCCAGTCACGCCCGAGTGGTTTTCCATACAACTCCTTGTAAAAACCTGAAACTTATAAACTATGGTTAAATCTTTCCCTTATGCATTTATGGGCTCAAATTGCCTGTTATGAATTAAAAGGAGATTCGAGCCCCGTAGTGCTTAAGAAAATTTTTCACGACAGTTTGAAAATTTCGAAATTTACAATTCAAGGATTTGTATGGAAAACCATTCAAGCGTGACTGGGTGGCAAGAGTTGTTTTTCTCATTTTTCGGCGGTCGTTGCAATCACTACTTTTTAAGATATACGACTGATAATTTACAGGTTAACCAATTTTAATATGCCCTTTTAGCTCGTGCCAACAAAATTTTTCAAAAGCGAACTGTTTTCGTGTTTACCGAAAGTTGATCACGTGATCAACTAATATAAAGGGCCCATTTGAGGGTACACTTTATGTTAATAAAATACACGTGCCATTCAAAATCGCAAACATTAGGCATTCCCTACTCTTTCTGGTCCACCTGTAGACCGATTTCACACCAAAACGGGTGGTCGTTTCGCGTTTACAGAATACCGTTGCGAAGTTTCGTTTCGGGGTGAAATTCTCTCTCCAGTACAACAACCGGGGTGAACTCTAGACTGTCCCAGGCTCCGAGTTAGTCGGTTCCGCAGAATTGAGAAAGCGCGAAGGTGAACTCGCGCCTGGGTGACTCGCGTCGGCATGACATTTTGTAGAGCCATGAGAGGGAACTGGAGTGATCTCGCGCAGGCGCGAAAGTCGCTCCGGTGTCATGTGAACACCCCCTTAGTAAACTTGCTCAGTTTTAAAGTGAAACGCCTTAAACGAGCGAAGAGATAGCTCCTCAGTCAAAGTGGCGAAAATTTACGGACGTTTGTTTGGTGGTGGACATATTAAATTCTGCAAGCATAGAATACTGCAATGCTGATCGTACTACGTAAAAATTTTTAAAGTTTATTTTTACGTAGTACGATCAGCATTGCAGTATTCTCCTTGCAGAATTTAATACGTCTACTTTTCATTTTTGCTGATCAGGTCTTTATAGATCCTACGTTCTTCGGCATATTCGTTTGAGGTCCTTTGCAGTCCTTTGTGGTTAATATTTGTACGGTAAGTTTGTGCCCCGGGCTATTTATAAACGATTGATTGATTGATTGATTGGCATCTTCGTTAGTTTTCAACAAATTGCCTTTAAACTTGAAAGTTGTACTAATTTTAACGCACTGTTCTTTCCAGCGAAGTCGATGGATTTTACCTAACTTGTCCATGTCAAAAGTTGACAAAAACCCTTGAAACGTTCATTTCAGTCATGGTGAGCGATGCAACAGCCGGATTCTTTTTTCCGCTTCTTCTATTAATAGTCTCCAAGAGCACCAAAGTCTGTTACTCATGGGCAAAGCATGATGTTTGTACCACACCTTTTACAAAAACCACTGGAATGTCCGCCAGAACAATTCGGTTAATCTACCGAAAAGTGTCATTAACTAGTTAAGGTGATCATGCAGAAACGTTGACAAAAAGCCATAGCTAGGTTCTTTGTGATTGGTTTTGCAATAATTATTTGTTTTTGAACAGTCTTATCTCGAACGTTCCCCAAGGCGTTAAAGACGTGATGATATTAGTTACTGATTTAAGGGACTGCGTCTTTCTTTTGTGTAAAAGGTCACGGTCGAGGTTGCAAAAGTTACTTGTACACTCTTCTCTGCACATATACAAAGTAAATGCGCAATTATAGCCTCGACTAAGCCCTACCGTACACTTCAGATTCGGCTAATCTTTATTGAAAAGTAATTTTACCCCAAGATATTCGCAATTCGTCTTGCACCACTTCGATATAAAGCGGAATTTTGCTACAAAGTTTCGCTGCTTGCCTTGTATATTAAAAGTAGGAGGAGGGGGGCACTCCCTTATTGAATGGGAGGTGCCCTAATGGTATGGTTTTTGAGAGTTTTTGGTCTGAAATTACGTGTTGATCTTTACCATTTTCAGTTGGCCTGAGAAAGGATACAGTTCAAGCTGGAACTGAGTTCAGAAGACGCAATTTTATAATTTATTCGGGAAGTGTGGTTTTTTATAGAGATGAACCGATGATGTACTGATGTACTGATGGAAGTCGAAGCAATCTCTTTAGTAGAAATAGGTGATGAAAATTGCATAATTAATTCTGAAATAGTGCGAGTGTTGCTAGAACCATGTCCGACACACCCACCCAAACATTCCGAGGGTATCTCCCCCCCCCCCCAGGATTTGGGACTGTTCATCAATACTAGACATTTTGCAGTAAATGATTTTAGTTCATTCTTCATAGCACATTGATGGATCAGTATATCTGTACCAATAAAAAAACATTTTATGCCGTGACTTTTCCCATGCAGCTGGCCCTAAAGAAAATATTTCGGTTCGGTAATTTTTTTATTCTTACAAAGGACTATTTTAAGAAGACACAATGATCTCGCTTTGAGGTTATTTCCTTATACTAGGCTCTTTCTTATTGGTGTGATTTTGTGTTCAATGCGGTTGTTAGCCTCAGTGATTGGTTGGTTTATATATGACGTGATGAGAGCCAAACCCTTTTAGCTTAACTGCGCCTATCTACCGTTTTATTTCTGAAGGTGCGGCTCGATAGTGTCACTTGCAGCTCATAAGCATTGCAACAAGAAACGCTTTACGAAAATGCAAGCTCTGTTTGCCTTGGCCTTTCTATCGTGTATCTCTGTTGGTAAGTGAAATCATATTTATGTTTTAAAGGCTTCCAGAGGATTTTTTTCACGGTTGTTTTGGAATATAATTCAAGTCGCTATTTTGGACCGTTTACGCTTGAAGTATGCTGTTCTTGTAAGATGGTTGAGGCTAAACCGCTCCTTTTTAATATGTACTGCTGCAAATTTTGCATTAAGCGTCTTCTAATGTTTATTAGGAAGCTTTAGCAACGACGACGTCGAAGGCAACGAGGACGTCAAGAAAGAAAAATGTACCAGAACAATAAGCACATTTTTGTAAATTTCTTTGCCGTCAATGTCTAGTGCGACCGCAATATGTTTCATGAAAGACGAAAACAAGCTACGACCAACTTTTTTGTTTCTCTCTCTGGAAAAATTGCCAATCAACTGTAACGAAAAGGCAAAAGACATAAAGCAAGACAGTCTTGGAACTAAACGCATGATTCCAATGATATTACTACTCCTTTTCTATACATATTTAAGAATAGTATTCGAGCGCTTTGTTGCCCGTTTTATATTCAAGGTGTGGGGTTAACGTTGTTTCGCAACTGGGTTTGAAACTTAAAGCGCGAGGGCTGGATATCTGAGCTGGACATGTTCCCAGCGTCCTGATCAGTTTAAAAACCTATTAGACGGCTTTCACCACCTGAGGCCATAGACGATATTTTATGCCAATTAACTCAGGTTAGTTGAATTTCGACTTTCGGTACTACTAAATAGCTTTAATAAATAGAGGGCAGTCTCTTCAAATTTCATGCCAGCTTGAAAATTAAAGCTTTAGGACTGACTAACTCAGCAACTTGGGCAACGAAAGAAGGGAACGTTCTTATGTTCAAATAGATAAAAGAAAATCTCTCCTGTTGATTGTTTTAAAGATTTTTAAGGGCTTGCCAACGAAATGAAATTCAATTTTTATGACTAATGCAGTCGGTAGGTGTCACCCCTAAAACCTCTGTATACAACCAACATTTATGTGAAGCTGCGTGAAGTGTCGTTTTATAAAGCTTCAGACACTTCTCAACTGGAACATAAACACAATTCAGGGGCACCCAACGAGAATATAGTTCAAAACCACTTAAACATAGCATTGTTAAACGTATTTTAGTATTAAATCGGTAGATATAGGCATATTTTTATCCTCTAAAATTTTTCATCTGTCCGGATTTCCCAGCTGAAAGTCTAGTGATTCGAAAATTATAGGAATCAAAACTTTACCTTTTCGAAACTTTCAGCCAGAAAAAAGGCTCCCGAAAATTGTAGGTGACCCTTTTAGGGTAAAAATCGGTTAAAAATGGGCAATTATACCATTGTTTAGATGTTCGAAAATCCTAGGAGAGGAAGACAAGCAAGAAATTTTGGAAAAAATTTTCCGAAAATTCTAGACCTGAAATCGTCTTCCGAACAGATATTTTCCGAAAATTGTCGTTGGGTGCCCCTGACAATTCATTGTTCGCGCCCCCCAGCCCCCTCCCAACACACAAAAAATGCTGAACAGTGGCCATGCACTTTCTAACAGCTTCTCATAGTTGCGTAAGGTAGGCAAGTTTATTATGTATATTAAAGTTTGATATTTAATAGACATTTTTTTTTTCACTTTGTGTCATGGTGTTAGTATATATTAAGCAATCAGTAATTTGCCATAAAAATTGGCTTTCCTGGTTTTTCGGAGGATGTTATTAAATGCTGCAGAAACGTTCATGCTACATAGCCTTGCCCGCTAGCAGCTAACTTTCCGCAACATTAGCCAGGTCTTTTGTGTGTGATTAATTTTAATGACATGTTTCTTTGCTTGACGTTGATATATTTGCGTGGTAACACATGGCTGGATACTAGGCATTTTTTTGGCGTCTAAACGGACAAGACAAAGTCCAGGTCTAAAAACACAAAAACATATCCACCCATCTTGACTTAACGAGATTGGTCAATGAAGGATATATTAGTAATAGGACTAAATGCTGTCCAGTAGGATGAAAAACGTTATGAGGACAGCCAAAATTACGGCCTAGTCCAATTTGGCTGTCGGAGTAAAACAATAATGCAAATAGTTAATTTAAGGAGAAACGAAAACTTTTGAAAATAAGCATTTTATTCCTCAGGCGCTTTTCGCAGGCTTTGTCCGCAACTGAACATGTTAGCTTAATAAATGTTTGTTTTGAATGCCAACATCTATACACAATTATTAGCGTTTCCTATCTCTTGTCGAAAGTTTCAGTGCTTGCACTTTTTCCAGAACCGTTGCCACAAATGTTTTATAGTCATCATGTCAAATAGTTTCATTTTGCCCGCTCGGGCACGCAGAAAATAAGAACACAGGATTTGCTTCATCCGTGCCCGCTCGCAGCGTCAGCCATATGTCAGACGACCTAAAGGCAGCGAAGCCCTTGTGTTAACTGTAGACAAGCTAACTGGGTGCACCAAAAACACTTTTGTTTTAAGAGCGAGCACTGCGGCTGCGGTTTTTTTGCCTTTGCTTTCTTGAGATGCTTTTCCGTTGTAAGTTCAACATCTAACTTTTAAATATGACCTCGCATCGTATAAGAGGTAGAATGATGAATTTCTCAGTATGTATATCTAGCCAATTTTTAGAAAATGATCCTAACCACGGTAACTATAGTTATCAAGACATATTTAAGGACGGTGCCCACTAATGGGAAGTATTTTTTCCCAGATAATGACTATGTGAGACAAGTAGATCATATCAGGGGCTGTTGAAATCCAAAAAGAAAACTGGGGTAACCACGCATTTTTCAGAGATGACTGCGCTTCAACATGGACCGGAGAACAACGCTGAATAGGCATTTTTTAGAAAAATGATAAAAATTTATTTTTTCCCCAAATTTCAGAGTGCACACGTGAACTGGCACAAATGCAATGATAATTGTAACAAGGTTTCAAAATAAGCGACAAATGATAACATAACAACTGCTCTTTATACGTCTTTTTTTGAAATATCAGCACAACTGGGAAGTTATCAGCAGTTACCCCTCTCCACACGTTTGCCTTAAAAATAGTGTAAACGACATTTTCCCGCAACCAAAAATCGATCGTTTGCTGGGTAGGCTTATTACTTTCATTTGGTAAGATAAAAAGTACGGTTTACCACGCGTTTTTAGAAGTTATATTAGTTGGTTTCAACCTTAACTTGATCGCTTTTGGGGTTATTTACAATTTTTCCCATCCCCTCCCCGGTCAGTTTCATTATTGCTTCACTCAATGCGGAGTACTCTGGGATATCCACAATGGCTAACAGTCAGAGAGAACAACAACCCATGGAAGAAAGCAAAAATAAAAAGTGAAAAAGGATATTTCGTGGACTCTAAGGAAAACAAATTATACCATTTCATTCAACTGGAGCTTCTCCGTCTCAAAAATTTAACAAAACTTTCTGGAGAAAAGCAATCTCCAAGGTATTAAAGGTTACTTCTATCGCACAGAGTCTTCTGGTGAGCTTTTTGATTTGATTTGTGGCAGAAATGTTCAGATAATGTGTGGTGTGGAAATTGAACCCTTAAGAAATACTATGTAGACGACAAGCTGCCAAATAAGGCAATAATTTCAATGCTTAGTAATGCCAAAATGCTTAAATAACAATGGTGATAGTAAAAAACAATAAGTTTTTTCGATTTTTCCACGATGAAAGCGTTTCCTTTGCGGTCCGCAACTATTTGTGAACTGCGATCTCAGCAATCTAAGCAATATTGTGACAACAACTTTTTTCTTGCTGTTCAACAAATAAAAGCCCGGGACTCTCAGTAAAAGGGACATCTGTTTGTACTCGAACGCTTTAAATCTATCTTCTGGTGAATAATTACATAAAATCATACAGATTTAAGTAATATTCGGGAAAGTGTTTATATTCCATCAGCCGATAAAACGATTTACTGATTTACTGATCACCCTTGCCTATTTAAGAGATTTTTTAATACCCAAGCTCCAAGCGTAACATCTTGAAGTAATAACTTTTGATGTTTTGAGAATTGACCTGTTTGACTATGAAATGTTCCTGGTTCGGTCAGATCGATCATGCGGCCGAAATAGCAACATGCGAATACTTCTTCAGTTTTCAAAGAACTGACAAAAGTAAATAGAAAAAGTAAATAGAAATTATTTGTCATCTGTAAAAAAACGACGCATCTTTTCGATCCACAAGAAATAACTTGAACCTTCCAGACTTACAGGAGACAAAACCAGTCCGCGCGTCCTGCTTGTTGTGCATTTCTTTCGCGTCGCGCGCGACTACCTTGGGATGCGCAGAAAACGTGCACAGTAACAACGGTGGGCACCGTCCTTAACCACTTTCATTAAGCTTTTGAGCAGTAATTTTATATTTAATTTTGCTGCTTTCAAAAATTTCGTCTAAATTGATAAAGAAGTATCGAAGTGGCACGTTTCGCTTTGTTTCGTTTTGTAGGATACGGCCTTAAGTGCTACGTGTGTACCTCAGCCAAAGATTGGGCTAGCTGTGACGAGAGCAAAAAGGAATTCACATGTCCTGCCGGTTTCGATTCCTGCGGGAAAATTTATTACGATGCAAAATTCGGGGACGTATCCTTGGAAGCATATAGCAAATTATGTGCGGTAAAGTCCGCCTGCAGTGATGATCTGTGCAAAGCACAAGCCGGGGGACAATCAGGAATAACCATCAACAAGTGTGAAGTCAACTGCTGCCAGGGTGACCTGTGTAATGGAGCCAAAGTACCACTGGTCAGCGCCTTCCTGCTGTTGGCATGTGCTGTTGTAGCTTTTTTCCGTTAAGTTGGACTCTTTGAAGTTAATCGTTAAGTTTAGTCAATAAACATCTCTAAGGAACACATATCCTGTTACTGTAGTTTTCAGTTATGAGTAAGGGTACAATTTCTTGTAATCTTTTTTATTCCAAGTTTGCAATATTAAAGTTTGTTTCTGATTAGCTGCTTTGGTGATTTTAAAGCTGGTCTAAGAGAAATGTCCAAGTGATAATATTAATTTAAATAATAATAGTAATAATAATGATAATAGTTGATTGGTTATTTGACACGAATGAACCAATGAATATGATGAAATGCGCCTTACATCAACCTGTCTGTGTACACACTATAAAATATGACAAGCAAAGTTATACTAGAAATACGAGAATCGCGGGACCTCGCGGAGCACTTCGGGGGGAATGGCAAGAAATAGGAAGAAAGGGAAATAAGGCAATAGGTTAGAAAATTTATAAAATGTAAAAAACTTACGCTATCTAAAGAAACAAAACAAAAGTACAATAACTAAAACAATAATTAACGAAAAGAAGAAGAAGAAAAAAAGAAATTAAAGGACAGAAAAAGAATTAAAAGCTCTTCCGCCCGGAATAGAACTCAGCTTGGAGCGTCGTTGGAATCATTTGCATCGAGCTTTCGGCAGTGCGGATCTCCAATTAGTTTGGCTTGGGAAAATTAATATGTAACTACTTTCACCTTAAATAATGTGTCAGATTATTAGTAACAGGGAACATGGAAAATATTTGAAACAAAATAATACGCAAAATTTAAGTTCCCCATCCTTGGAGACCCAGGGGCAGATAGTGGGGGCAAGGGAAAGACTAAACGGGCGGAAAATTACTTTTCTTCGCGCCATTTTTTTCCGTCCGTTTAGTCTTTCCCTTGCTCCCACTATCTGCCCCTGGGTCTCCGAGGATGTAAGTTCCCTTGATCATAAAAAACTCTAAGAGCAATAAGCAACTTATTGAAATAACAACCCAGGGCCCAGTTGTTCGAAGGCCGATTAGCGCTTAACGCGGGTTAAATCTAAGCCCGGTTTCTTTTTGTTGTGTTCAAGACCATACTATGAAAAAGGCTACTTTTTTTTAAAATGAAATATTTCCAAGGGGAATTGTGGCTTTACAAGGTTTTAGTGAGGATTTTAAGGACATTAATAATTATGTAATAATTTTTTTGCTCGAAACCAAAGAAACTTTGTAATAAGAGAATGTCCCTAAATATTATAAGGAGTAATTTGAGAGTACAAGGGAACCGTACTTTGTGGACACCCACTCACGATTTTTCTGCCGCCTAACCCCCCCCCTCACAAGAAAGGCCCAAATATTTCCCCTTACATTAACCTGCTTGATGGAGATACCACTTGATATGGACAACAAATAATTTTAATCGACCAAAGTTAAATGCTAATCGGAATACAAAGCTGGCCTAACTTTAGAGATGCAATACTATTTTTGATTTGCTCACTATTCGCCTTCTGGTGGGAGATCAAGAGCCACAGCCACTACCATCGTTACGCCGTCCCGCTTTTTAAATAGGGACACCAGTTCCACTTTTACATCAGTAGGTACTTTGTTACCACTGGCATATACTTAGTGTAAATATACGGTAACAATTCGAAGTCAGGTTGTAAAAACACATGTCACAATGAATAAGATAATTGAAACAGGGCTGAAGGCCAGTGATTTCTCCCACGTCAGGAGCCCTCCTGCCCCTGTACAATGAAGGTGATGCCCAGCTGCTTACATGAGGACCCAGATACGACTTTTTTTTGCAGACCACATGACACCGGCGTTGTTGAGGACGCTAGGTTTTGAGTGACAAGCAATAAACTTCCTAGTGTGAAAAGCAATTAGTTTCTTCACCGTTTGGCCCAATCATCAGTGGTCAGTTACCGTATTTATTCGAATAAGCGCCCAACCTCGAATTAGCGCCCACCTCGAATAAGCGCCAATCCTAAAGGCAGAAAAAGTTAATAAGCGCCCAGCCTCGAATAAGCGCCCACCCCACCCACTCCCCCTCCCAATCAAACTCAATTAGCGCCCACCCCCACCCCACCTACTTGAGCGATAATGAGATTGAAATTGAAATTGAATAAGTACTAATAAGAGACTTCCCCGAAGGCGGAGTGTTCTTCCGAGTATTTTACCGAAACCTTGCTTTGTTACTTCTTCGTGTTTTGTTATTGGCATTTACTGTTTTGTTGCAAAAATAAAAATACTACACTAATTGCTGAAAATGGTGAAAATGTAATAACCGCCCAGCCTCGAATAAGCGCCCACCTCAAATAAGCGCCCACTCTCAAGGTCCAAAAATTTAATAAGCGCCCAGGGCGGTTAATCGAATAAATAGAGATTACTTCATGGTTGGTGAGTGCGTACGATTTTTATTCACGAGTTGTGAAGAATCGAAAACGAACGAGTGAGCGCAGCGAACGAGTGAGTTTGCGATTCTTCACAACGAGTGAATAAAAATCGTACAAGCGAACCAACTATGAGGTAATTTGTTTATTATATACATACTGAGACATTCATCATTTTGGCGGCCTTTTTATTTTAAATCTTTCAAAAGTGCTAAAATTTGCCGCTAAACACTTACCGCAAAATGACAACGAAAACGAAGTATCAGCTTTTTACTAAAAACGTTTGTTAAAAACATACATGACGGTAAGGATATGAGGTAATCCAAGAACTATAAGTAAATTATCTTAACTGTTTGTTCTCAATGCAAAATTGAAAATGAGTGAATTTAAGTAAAATGGCCGGTTTCAATATAAACTTAAGCTTAAATGAAAGGCAAAGTAGCTCCGACAAAAAGCACAACAAAAGCTTACGTCTCGTTCTGTTTTTCCCTTTCCGCTGTTGTTTCGCCGGCTCTCTACCGTTTTCTTTATCGACAGTGAAACAAACGAAACTATTCCACTCCATTTCCGAAATTTAGCGACAAAAACTCTTTGAGTAAAAGTTTTCTCGTTGAATGTGTGCGAAGCGGCGCTGCAAGCTGCAATAAAAGGCGGGAATTTTGGCGCGAAACTCACACACCTCTGTGGCTTCTGATTGGACGTATCATTTTTCTCACACGTGAAAAAACATCGTTCGCGATTCTGATTGGACGAATCATTTTTTTCACGTGTGAAAACCATCGTTCGCTCGTCTGATTAGCCAGAACTAATTTGCGTACGAAATTTACGACATAGCTTTTTGGTGAGTATTTCTCAGTATGTATATAATAAATACGGTATTCGATAAAGCGTAACATTTTTAAACAAGATTAAGGCCGCATCTGGCGATAGAGTAATTAGAGAAAATATTACAATTTAATTTTTAAAACTGTGAAAGGTTTGAACCCAGGACCGGAGTGAACGTAGTCCTGAATAGGACTGTTGTTGTTGATAGTGACTGACGTTTCGACAACCTGTGCGGTAGTCATCTTCAGAGTCAAAGAGAGTTGTATCACGTCAGTTGATGATATTATACTCTGTTTGTTGATCTGATTGGTCAATCACGTCGCGATGTTATTGGTCGTCTGTCAGTTAAGCCGTGATGTTATTGGAGACTCGTAATCAGTAATTGGTGCGTTTCGATCCGTCTATTGTCACAGTTAAAAAGTCATCTATTGTTAGTCAAATTGTCAGTTCTCCAGTCGTTCTGTCGTAGTTAGGGAAAGTTCATTTAATATGACAAGGGGGGGAGATGAAGATATTGAAACTCGACGCTTGAAATTTTAGCAGCCCTCCTCGCTAGCGGTTCAATTTTTTAGGAGCCCCTCCTTGGTAGTTGAAAAAATTTCAGAGCCCCCCTCCCCCCCTCCTCCTTCAATTCCTGTGCTCCCCTGAAAAAAGATCGCTAGACTGTATTAAATATATTTACCGTTATTGTCTTCAATGGTTTATACTATGACAAACTTGAGATACAGTTGTGATACAATTTTCTAAAGCATTTTTGGGATGAACAAGAGTGTAATAATTACTGAGACTACATTTGTTATATCTGTAAACCACGTGATATAGCTGACTTGCACAGGTCATTAATTTGTTGAGTTGAAAACCATCCGATCTGTATGATGATGTCATGTGTTGGTTTTGAAGTGTACAAATTTTCGGAGCCCCCCCTCCTAGGGCAACAATTTTTTCAGAGCCCCTCCTTCGGGTGTCTAAAAATTTTCGGAGCCCCCCCCTCAATATCTTCATCCCCCCCCCTTGTCATATTAAATGAACTTTCCCTTAGTTTTGCTTGATCTCGTCAATAAGTCGTTTGTAAAGCGCTGGTAACTGTTGGCTACGATTCAGTGGCGTTTGTTCTAAGTTATTAAACCAGCTTTCTAAAGTAAGACGTTGATAGTAGTCTGTAGTATACGTTATACATGTCGTAGAGTCCCAGTCAGTTTAATGTTTCGTCTGTAAATGGTGCTCAGCAATGTGATTGTTGACGTCACCATTCCTCGTCGCTCGTTTGTCTTCGGTCGGTCAGTCACGTGCTTAGGTTTCTGCCGGTTTCACCAATGTAAGAAGCCAAGCAGTCGCAGCATAATATCTTGTATACTGCTCCTTGTCTGTCCTCCGGTTTGTCTTTGTCCTTGACATTAGTAAGCAGTCGCCGTAAACTGGTTATCGGTTTGTGTGCAACGCGTATATTGAAAGGAGGGTTGTACCATGTGATGTTTCTTGTTCGTTTTCTTTTGTTTTTCGGAGCTTTCTCTTGTGGGGGGTTGTATGCTAACTTGTGGTCGTATCCGCTTTCTGTTAGAGCTTTCTGGTAAGGGGCAATAGATTCGTCAAATACTTCTTTGCTGGATGAGATGCTAGTTAACCTTTTGTTAATGTTGAGTGGGATATTCTTTAGTAGTGCTGGGGGGTGGTTGCTATGTTGGTGGACATAGGACAGTTTATTATTAGGCTTCATGAATGGCTTGTAGCACCCGTTTGTGAGGTTTAAGGTCACATCAAGAAAGTTGACGACCTTTTTGTTAGCTTCGATTGTGATTTTAAGGCCATTGGATTTGAACACTTGGCAGACT